ACTATGGAAACAATCTCATCTCAGCTCGGTTAAATCTGAGGAGCTTCGCAGAAAACAAAGAACTTTAGCTTTTGCAATGCTTCAAATGCTATTTGGGTTCTTTTCCTTTAATGCCAGCCTGCCCACAACAGGGACAAAGACACATGTAAATAAATCATTATAAAGTCCAACAATCTGCTGCTTTCAATAAAGCAAAGAATGTTGTTGGATGATAATTTGGAGTTACTGTCAAAAATCATCTCTTTCACTCTCCCTGCTTCCTCCCCACAGCATATGCACAAGGCTTTAGAGCTGAAACGGTAGCTGCAGACAGAGCATGAGCAAGCCTTTCACACCAAGCAGAAGGAGATCAATCAGCTGCAAAAGGTACACAGTCACGAGTTAAAGCAAAATGAGATATTAATCATTCATTCTGTGCATTGACGACATCCCAGAACTTCTTCTTCAGTCACGGATGAGCCGCTGATGCACTGTCACGCAGTCATTTTACCAGAAAATAGAAAGTTTTAGGAAATTTTCCAGGTTCGATCAGAAAAAATTGGTTGGTAAGTCCAAATTTAGGATAAATTGAGATACTTTTTTTATTTTTTACTTTTGTTGATTTCCCTTTACTATACTTATCCACAACCACAATTTAGAATGAGGTTCTATTAAAAGTTTTAAAATTTTAGCTTACATAACCTCAGACTCAACAAATTGCAGTACATCTCTAAGCCTAAATGAAATTATTTATTGTATTTCCAGTAATAAACTAATTATTTCTTTTTTAATGTTTCTTTTTTCTTGAAGCTTCTCATTAAAACAACTCATCATTATCTAATTTAAGTGATTTTACCTCAGATATTTGCTAAAACAGACCCAGATATTTTTATATATAATCTTTAGGAAATAGATGCAAATGTCCCAAATGAGTTTTAAAGATCATTAACCCCTTTAGCTTTAGTCAAAATGAGCACATCTCACATGAGTTGTGCCTTAGGAGTTGGTGTCTCTTCATGTAGCGGTGCTGATGTCTTCTCCAGGTTGCTGCGTCAACAGTGTGTCAGCTGTGTAATGCAGTTTTACGTCATGGACTCTGATCACTGTGTGTTCTCTGCAGGCCTGGGTTCAAACTGACAATGAGCAGGAGGAAGCAGTACACTTATTAGAGGTAAAGTAACACAGATTTACATCACAGTCATCGTTCCTGAACACATGGGATCAGATTTTGTTTTGACAAATACAAGTGCTAAAAAATGTAATTTTTTCACATTTCATGGTGTTTATGACGAAATTTGGATATACAAATGTAAAATTAACATAATTATCTGTGATGGAGGGATGCCATTAGGTTTGCATGTTAAGCCAAAAAAAAGAAAAAAAAAACAATTTTTTATCTGCTGATGGTGCAGAAAGAAAAGACATGAAATCAGCAAAATGTTGCAGTCTTCCTCTGGGGTTCCCCCCAGGCATCCATGGAAGCTGTTATGCAAATCCGTCCCACTAAATGTTTGAGATATTTCAGTCCAGCACACAGAGCTGCATTATCCAGAACCACCATCCCTGCAAGGGAAGTTTAAGAATATTATCAGTCAAATGAATGCACTTTAAACTGCTGACTGCATGCAAGCTTTCAACAGTTTAACCTCCGCTGAGGCTGAAATTGTGTGAAAGACTTCAGAATCCAAAACTCCTTCAAAAAAATGAAAGATGAAAATGTGAAATTTTCCATGCTAAACAGGACAGAGAATAGACAATTTTATAATAATCTAATTTCCCGATGGCTAGTAAATTATAGTTAAGCAGGAAATAAACTTTAAAATTAATCAGAAATGTCTAGATTATGTGTTGATTCCGCACTAATGATGCTAGCTTGGGATTTAATTTAATTTCAAGGTTTGAAAAGTGCATTAAAATATAATAATCTGGTAATCGATTTTACATTTTGCTTTTAAAAATCAGAAAATAAGATTCCACTAACTTTGCTTTTAATAAAGATGACGCCGAGCCCCTTTAGACCTGTGCTTGTGTGTCTATTGTTATTTAAAAATATCTTAAAAAGCTGACTGGCTGCTTTTATTTATATCTTAACACATAAATCACTGAATTTAAAAGTGTATTCAATATTTGCACAGATGCAACATAGACTTTGACAGAAGATAAGATGAGGAAAAAATTTTTTTGGGGGGGGGGGGCTTGCCTTTAATTTTACTCCCTTTATTGTATACTTTTCATTTTTCTTATGATAAAACAACATTTTTATTATATAAGATGTTTGAGCTTTAATATTTACTGTGAAAATATCAGTTGATTAAATTCTCTTTAGAAATGTCAGGGAGCAGCCTTGTATAATATGGCCTGAAATTTTGGTTTATCTTTAAAAAAAACACTTCCACGTTTTTCAAAACTCTAGCACCAAATTCATGCATCATCATATTTAAAATGTGTTCTCTTAATCGTTCTCCTTCTAGAGCTTTTCTGTGTCATCATAGAGAAAAAAATGAACTTTTAGAATTTCATCAGACTAACTTGTCACTGCAGCACCTGAACTGACATCTCTCCCTAGCTCAAGTTGCTGACCTGCTGCTTTTCATCACAGACTTTTTTAAGGTTGCGAGTCGCTGCCTCTTCTATGGGAATTCATTTTCTAATTGTACCCTAAATCCCTCTGTGACAATGACTCGCTTACTCCTTTGAGTGCAGTTCACTTCTTTCACTTCCTGTGTAGGTGTATTAAAATGTTCAAATGGCAGAACGAGGGTAAAACAAATCGGCTGTGGCACAGTGTCCAGCATTAATCCTGTTTAATATTAATGTTTTTTTCTCCCGGAAAATAGAAAAATAAGAACTTATTTTGGCTCACTTTCTCCCTGCCTGGCCTCCAGTAACAGATCTCTGCTTTGAATGGGACTGTGTGGAGTCAAGTGTTTTAATCTAATGCCTGAGTGCTGTATAAATCCATTCATCCAATCAGATCACAGGAGCTGTCTATCTGCATTAGTCACCAGGCAAAGGTGTGGGACACCTTGGACAGTTCACTAGTTCATCACAGGGACACACCATGCCAGCAAATCAGCGTAATATTAGTGCAGCAGTGTGTCTCCTAAATGTGCAGTGCCAGCATGGCAATACGTGAATTTTGCAGCATTCGTTCCGCCTCATTTGGTATAATATTGCGGTAATTGTCTGTCAAATAAACGACGATTACACCTTGGTGCAACAAAGGGAGGGGCCATGATGATGTGGGGAGTTACTACCGAGCTCCGGCGAGCAACTATATGCAAAATGAAAGTAAACACGGGCAATAAGTTTTACTTTTTGAACAGAATCAGCTGAGATGATAAAGTGGAGCAATATAGAACTCCCGGAGCTTCTCTCTGTTAGTTAGAGCTCAGATCACCAGAGACTGCACAACGACTGTGGAGGACAGATGCCTTTAGGAGCGGCTTGTTAAACAAACATAATGAGCGCAGCTTCGATCGCAATAAAAAACAAGTTATGTCCAAGATAAACGGAAGTGCAGGGACCGCCCCCACACCCCCTTAATGCTGCCATTACGTAACCTTTTGTAAAAAGGACATGATTGCATCACATTGCCGCCACGCTGTGACCACTTACAAATGACCTAAGACTCCCTGATGCCACCACGGCCTTGCGGCACATTGGCAGAGTTGTTTTGTAAAAAACGTCTACAGAGACAAACAACCAGTCACACACTTACTCACACCAAGAGGCTATTTAATAAGCCTGGTATGTGTGTTTTTGGTTTGTGGGAGGAAACTGGAGTACTCATAGAAAACACACTAGCTCCACTTCTGGGAATCAAACCTGCGACCTTCTTGTTGCGAGGCAACAGTCCTAACAACTGTTCCACCACGCAGCTTGCCAAGAAAATCTTTTGGAATATGGTTTTAAATGCAAGAATAGGTCTAAATGTTCATATTTGTGTTCTCTAAAAGTTCTAGAATGATGCTCTCAAGTTTTAATCACCCATAGACAACATACCTCAGCCTCCTGCTGACATTAACTCGTGCCTTCATTCTGATCATGTTTCATTTCAGCCTCACAGGCTCAAGGGCACCAGATTCAGATAAGAAATTGTTTTGGGGCCAGACAGAGATAATTTCTTCTCTGTCTTAAAGTTCTGCTGGTCCTCAACCTCTCAAAATCAAATAATGGCGTAATTAATCTATCCCAATCCGTGCTGATTCGTTCACTCGCTCCTTGATCACATCCATCTTTTGTGCCAGAGCCTGAATCTCTGCCAAAGTTCCAAGCTTACAACTCATCTCGACAATTATGAGTCTGTGCATTCACAGCGCAGTGGGCTCCGGGAGCGAGCCAATATTCCTCGACAGCTCGTTAATTTTCCGGTAAGCCAGGTAACCTCCCAGGCAAAACAGCAGGAAACCCGACACCAACACCACGAATATCCAGACGTCTTCAGAATCCTCTACAGACAGTTGAGATAAGCAGATCAGGTTCCACTGTTTCCAGGAGTCCATGATGTGCCCAACTGGATCTGTCCCAGAGGGGCACCTGGGAGCCCCTTCTCTCGTTCTCATCGTTGAGAGAATTTTGTCAATCGCGTTGAGACCAGCTGACCAGGTCCATTTTTAATAATTTCCAGTTTCCAGAAAAAATGTAGAAGCGCCGTACACTCAAAGACAGACAGAGCCTTGGGTATAAGATAGGGAGGAGAGGAGGAAAAAAGTGTCTGTACTCTCCAAGAGCCGGAAGATGAAGGTATTTCTTTCCCCCTGACTTGGTTCCTTTTCCCCCTTACACATTACAAATCTCAATAACATTTTAAACAAAATAGAATCCTCTAAAAACAGAAAAAAGTTTAAAACAGCTGATGACTACACTTTGATTAGATCACTGGAATTTCCACCATAACGTTACAACAGAGCTGACAAATGGTTCTTCAGGGATCTTTTTCTAAGTGGACCACTGCTCATTCAGCAGTAATATATGGAACAGCTACTCTTTAGAGGGTCCACATCCATACAGGTACATGTGATGAATCAGGGTTTCTAATTCTGTTCTCTCTATCATCTGTTAAAGGTCAAGCATTGTGACCTTGAGCAGAAATGCAGGTCACACAGTGAACACTTCCACCAGTTTTCCAGCGAGCTGCTGAACTTCCGTTTGCAGTCGGACGGAGCCGGTGGAGATTCTAAAACATAATTCCACCCCAGCATCCCAGACACCATCCTCTCCAGAGGAGGAACTCTTGCAGGTTGTTGTTGAATTTGGATCCCAGACAGACAAAGGTGAGTCAACTTTCACGTAAGATTCAAGAATATTGTTTCACAAATCCAGATCTGGACTCTGCTGATAGATAGAGACTTTTCATAGTCATTATCTTTCCTAATTGACCTCTGGACTGATATAACATGAATGCATTTGTCTGCTAAAGAATAACATCTCACAACCCATGCTGAAATAATGATTTCCTTGAGGATTTAATCTGCATGCACTCAGAAAATAAAAATCTGATTATTGGATTTCTTACTTTTTTCCAACTGTGCCTAATCCTCCCCAAGTGGTATTTAGGGACATATGTGTATTGCAGATGGGAAGTGCAGATGGAGACGGAGTAGCATTTGCCAGGCATGGTGTTAGCTGCACCATTGCTTAAAAGAGGCAATCAGTGGGTGTGGAATAAAGCAGCAAATTGTTGCATGAGGAATGGCAGCAGCTCCTTGTGTGATATTTAAATCGATGTCTCCCAGGTGATGAGAGCGAGGCAAACACTTTGCTACTGATCTCCCAGTTCTCACCCAGCCATACACAGACTGGAGAGGGTGAAGCATCTGAACCACTGTCAGTCAACCCCAGCACCGTGACAACGGACCGCTCCAGCAGCCCTCGACAGCCTGCCCCATCAGAGGTGCACCTGAGTGACACCGCATCAAAACATACTGTCACTTTCATGTTTAGTTCAGATATTCTGTGGAAGCGTTACAAATGCTTTTACTTTATCTTTATCTTTATTAATGACATCCGTTTTGAGAAAGAGGTTAGGTCTACCTGCAGTGAGGAGCTTATGGCTGAACCGAGTGTAACCAGAGTATGAATTACTACCTTCTTAAAAAAAGTATTTTTGCTGAATAGATGGAGGATGCGACCAACCCATCACCCAGGTCCAAGCCTCGCTACACTGGCCAGGTCCGCCTTTGCACTGCCCGTTATAGGTAAATAAGGCAAGATTTTTACGTTATCTTTACTGTTTTTACTTTTAACAAAAATTTGAACAAGTTCATTTTTTATATGTGTTTTAAAGTTATAACCCTTATGATGGACCGAATGAGCACCCTGAAGCAGAGCTTCCTCTTGTGGCTGGAAAGTATCTGTATGTGTATGGAGACATGGATGATGATGGCTTCTATGAAGGTGAGACGATAATAATATAAATCTGTTCTATCAAAGCACAGGTTCATTGAGAAACACTTGTTCTTTTTGAATTATGATGGGTCACTCTGAGTTCCATATACAGGCTGAATGTGAAAATAGTCTTCTCTGCGTATCCCCTGCATTAGCTGAAGAAAGAAAATAAATGGGTGAACCACTCGGGTCAGAGAAAGACACACACAGATCTACGTCACACTGTACATTGGTATTCATTGACTCACGACGAGGAAGACTGTTGTTGCTTTAGAATTCAGGAAACAGCAGAGAGCGTCTCGGCTAGTAGAAGCTAACAGTTAGCATTAGCAACTCCACCACATGGCAGAACTCCTCCAGGCTTGTGTTATTTGTGGAGATAAAACATCAGTGTTTGAAAGTGAATGAAGACAGTGGAAGAGTCATTGTTAGCCAATCAGAGGCTGTCCAAATATCGTTTACAGTAATCAGTAAGACCACATTCTGCCATTGTCTGCCCCCCACTCCTCCGACTAACTTCTACTTCCTGAAACAGGAGCACTAGAGCTTTATTTGCACACAAAATGACTCACAAGACATTAATTCATTCATATAGAGATGGCAGCAGATTTATTGAAATAATGAGTGAACAACTCTTCGAAGATACGTTTGTGTTTTATGGGATGAGGTTAAGATGAAACAATAACTCGTTGAAACTTTGATGTGAATGAACCGTAATGCTGATTTAATTATTTCTGCACACAGTGCTACAAAGACAGATCCTGCTCCTGCATGGCCGCTTACATGACTTGTCACCCTCATACTAAAAACATCCATCATTTGCCTTCTGGCTGCAACTCCTTCTGTGATCTCAGCATCGTCAGTGCTGGCTGTCACCATGAAAACTTTCTGCACACTTTCTCACAACCGCGGAGAAGAGTGGCTCCCTTTCTAATCTGTTTAGAATGATGAAGGCATCTCCATCAGCGGCAACCCTAATCCCCCTGGCCAGGAATCGTGCAGCCAACTCTGCCTGTCGTGGTCACGGTCCTACTCAGCTGCAGTGATTCACTAGCTGTGGGCGGTCAGATTGCACAGCATTGTGGAGAAGCTCTGTGTTTACCACACAGGAGGGAGACGGGCCTCAGACCAAGCTGTTGACAAGATGGGACCATGGTCCCTTTTAGTGTGATGACTAATCCAGTGGGGTTTGGCTCATTCATCAGCACACACACACACACACACACACACGCATGCACGCACGCGCGCACACACGCAGACACACACACACACACACACACACACACACACACACACACACACACTGACTTCCACGCACACACCAAGAGGCAGAAGCAAGTGGTTTTAAAGTTTCCTAGGCCTCACTGGAAAGGTGGGTTGAAGGACACGATGAGCAGCTATGATGATTCAATTAAATTAAAATTCAATTCAATTCAATTCAAAATACTTTATTAATCCCAGAGGGAAATAGATTGCTGTAGTAGCTCATAATAATAATAACAATCAAGGTGTCAAAGAGTTATTGTATATTACAATGGCTGTTGGCAGGAAGGATCTCCAGTAGCGGTCAGTGTTGCAGCGAAACTGAAGAAGCCTCTGACTGAAGACACTCTTCCGTTGTCGGACAGTCTTGTGAAGAGCTTCTTTGCATCATCTCCTCCAGTGGTTCCACAGTCGTCCCCAGAACAGAACCAGCCTTTTTTATTAGGCTGTTGAGCCTTTTCAGGTCCCTGCTTCTGATGCTACTACCCTAACAGACAATGGCTGAAGAGATTACACTCTCAACAACAGACTTGTAGAAGATCTGCAGCATCTTGCTACAGACATTGAAGGGCCTAAAGCTTGGTTTATGCTTGACGCATTCACTTTCCACTTGGTGATGCGGCTCGCGGCTGGAACGTGCTTCACAACTCGCAGCGTTTATGGTTCATGCGGCTTGTTTCTGCGGTGAGCCAATATTCTCCCAAACTGTAGGGGGCAGCATGGAGCTCTACAGCATGCATCCAACACTACACCATAGTAGAAGTAGAAATTACTGTTTACAACATGGCATTTCAGCAGTTTTTAACAGCGTCCTCGTCTTTCCGACAGTGCGAGCTATTTCTCTCCAAGAATTATTAACAACGTTGATCACGGTGATCTCTGAAAGCTGAATCATACAAATGTCTGTATTTAAGAACCTCTGCCATAGTTCTTGCCGGTCCGCATGTTTTTCCGCGTCCGACTGTCCGTGTGGTTAGAAAATTTCCTAGGTGAGCGTTGCGGAAATTTTGGGCCGTGCAGAGGCGCGGTTGTTAAAATGACGCAACTTTTCCGTGCGGAGCCGTGCGGACCTCGCGGACGCGTCAAGCATAAACCAACCTTAAGCATCCTCAAGAAGTGCAGTCTGCTGTGTCCCTTTTTGTAAACGGCTTTGCTGTTCTTTCTCCAGTCCAGTCTGTTGTCCAGGTGAGCTCCAAGGTATTTGTATTCCTCAACCACCTCCACTTTTTCTCCCATGATGGAAACAGTGTTTGACTCCACCCTGTTTCTTCTGAAGTCTAAAATCATCTCCTTTGTTTTGTTCACGTTCAAGGTCAGATGATTGTTTCCACACCATGCCACAAAGTGCTCCACCAGCTCTCTGTACTCAGCTTCCTGTCCATCTCTGATACACCCGACAACTGCAGAGTCATCTGAGTATTTCTGTAGATGACAGGTCTCTGATTTGTACTGGAAGTCTGAGATGTACAGGGTGAAAATGAATTCAATTCAATTCAATTTAAAAATACTTTATTAATCCCAGAGGGAAATTGATTAATGGTGAGAGTACAGTCCCCTGTGGTGCTCCATTGTTACTGATCACCTGGCTATATGTGCAGTTCTTCAGCCTCACAAACTGTGGTCTGTTTGTCAGGTAGTCTTTGATCCAGGCTGTCAGGGACCGAGCAGTAAAACTCCAGGACAATGGTTTAAAAAGAATATCTTCTCCATTTATTTTATAAAGAATTAAACAAAATCAAACAAAAACGGGCCCAAAGGAAAAAATGGCCACAAAAATAACCTTAACTAAAAGTAACAAGCAAGACTCTCCAAAACTGAGACACACAGGGGAATTTATACACACAGGCTAGCCTACAGACAACGAGGAGGGGAGAGACAAGGGAAACACTAAGACAAATAGTAAATAAACCTAGGAAACTAAGTCAACAAAAATAACTACCACAAAAAAAGTTTAATACATCCTAACAAAATCTGGTAAACTCAATAGAGCTTCAGAACGTCTGGTTTCTGGTTTCTTCATTATCACGCTCCCTGCTTCCAGGAGCCAGATGGAATGTTCCACTTCCTGCATGGAGTTACACTGGGCGTGTCCCCTCTCTCTGCCAGTTCATCCAATCTCAGAATACAAATGAAAATAGTTAATGATCAAAAAAACTATGTGTAAGATAAATTACTAAATGTGTGCACCCATTAGTAAACATCTTACAATATTGCAAAAATGAAATAAATCAGCATATAGAAAAAGATATTTAAATAATACTAACACTGAGAAATGGCTGGAGGAACCTCCACACAGGCAATAGTTGAGCCCCCCACCTGTGTCATCTGGAGTTTCTGGCAAAGTACATCAGACTGAATTGTGTTAAATGCACTGGAGAAATCAAAGAACATGACCCTCACAGTGCTGCCTGCTTTGTCTAGATGACAGTGGGTTGGTTTAAGCAGCTGGATGATGGCATCTTCAACTCCAACTCCATGGTGATAAGCAAACTGCAGCAGGTCCTGATATGTTCTAGTTTGCTTATTCAGGTGGACTAACAGGAGTCTCTCCAGGACCTTCATGATGTGGGATGTCAGGGCAACCGGTCTGTAGTTGTCATTGACTGATGGGCGAGTTTTCTTTTGAACTAGAACAAGGCAGGATGCCTTCCACAGGACTGGAACCTTCTCTCCTGGGCCAGGCTGAGGTTGAAGAGGTGCTGCAGAATCCCTCAGAGCTGATCTGCACAGGCCTTCAGTGCTCTGGGGCTGACAATATCTGGACCTGCAGCTTTGTTCCTGTTCAATCTCTGCAGTTGCCTCTTCACCTGACTTCCAAGAGACAGATAGGTGGGAGGGGAGGTAAATGGGGCAGCAGCATCTCCTGACTTGGTTGAAGACAGATTTATAGAAAGAGAAGAGTACATGACTGCGTTAGAGGACAAAAGAAGTGGCATGTGACAGGAAAATGTTGGATCAGAGGAGGATGGGATGTCTGATTGGCTTTGGACAGGCGAGGAGGATGCTGGGTTTGTTCCTGAACTTAACCTATTGAAGAACTTGTTCAGTTCATTGGCTGTGTCCAGGCTGCCATCTGTGCAATCCTTCCTCTGCTTAAAGCCTGTGATCTTCTTCATCCCTGACCAGACATCTCTGATATTGTTCCTCTGTAGTTTGTTCTCCAGCTTCTTCCTGTATGCCTCCTTGCTGTCTCTGATCTTGATCTTCAGTTGCTTCTGTATACTCCTCAGTAATTCCCTATCTCCCTCATTGAAGGCTCTTTTTTCTCATTTAGCAGATTCTTCAGTTCACTGGTGATCCAGGGTTTGTTATTAGCGAAGCTTCTCACTGTTCTGGTGGGTATGACGTTGTCAACACAGAAGTTTATATAGTCAGTGACACATCCAGCCATGGCACTGATGTCGTCTTCATATCCTTGGCAGAGAGTAATCCAATCTATGGTCTCAAAACAACCCTCCAGGGCTTCTTCAGCGTCCTGTGACCATTTTCTCACAGTTCTTCTTGTCACAGGTTGCCTCTGAACAAGTGGTTTTTATTCTGAGCAGAGAAAAACAAGATTGTGATCTGATTGTCCCAGAGGAGGTCTTGTTTTGGACATGTATGCATTCTTTACATTTGCATAACACAAATCCAATGTCTTGTTTTCTCTGGTGGAGCAGCTGACAAACTGTTGAAATGTTGGAAGTGTAGCAGAGAGTGAGGCATGATTAAAATCACCAGATATAGCCACACATGCATTGGGGTGCTGGGTTTGTAGCTTAGCGACAACAGAACTGATGGCATCACATGCATTTTCAGCAATGGCTGAAGGTGGAATATAAATGGTTGCCAAGACAACACTGGTGAACTCTCTTGGCAAATAATATGGGCGACAACTTACTGCCAAGAGTTCAACATCTGGGCTGCAGAGACGACATTTCAGTGAAGAATGACATGGATGACACCATCTGTTGTTGACAAACACTGCCACTCCACCTCCTTTTCTTTTCCGGCTCCTCTTCAGATCTCTGTCTGGTCGTAAAGTCAGGAATCCTGGCAGAGAGACGCTGGAATCGGGGATATGGTTCTGCAGCCACGTCTCAGTGAAACACATAACACTGCACTGCCGATACTCTGGCTGAGTCCTTGAAAGGGCTTGGCATTCATCTATCTTGCTGGCCAGTGATCTCACATTGTTGACATGGTTACGCATCATAACAAATGCTCAAAAAGTGAAAAAAAAAAAATCAATAAAAATCCCCTAAACTTCACAGCACCAGAAACAGAAAAGTGAAAGGTCCAAAAAATACAGTTTTTCTGAGGACGCTAGAGGAAAAAATGTCCAAAAAAAGCAAAACTTGCATGTAGTTAACAGAGCTACTCCAACATGCAGCCACCCAGAGCAGCGCGAGAATTAGAATTGATGAGAAACTTCTCGCCTTTGGGTAAAAACTGCTCAGTAAATCAGTCATTTTTCCCCCTTGAAGTGATCTCTTCATCCATATTCTTTGTGGGGGTGGGGGGGGGGGTGGGGGGGGGGGTGTTCCTGGAAACATTTTAGAGGACAGCTCTTTGAAATGTTGATAGAGAATGTTTTATTAGTCGTTTATTTGAAGAGGGAAGAGTGAAAGTTAGAATTAAAGTAATAGTGAAACAACAGAGATGCCACTCCATGATTTAGAAAGCTTTAATATTGGATTGTTTTTTATTATTTCATATCTTTATCTTGTTTAATATCCCTAAATTGGGTCACGGTGGTATATTTGTTGGTATTGAAGCACCAAAGACCGAGGCTCAAAGTGGAAATACTTTTCTTCTACATTAATTTATCTGTTTCTGTCTACATCACAGGGGAACTTTTGGACGGCCAAAGAGGTCTTGTTCCGTCCAACTTTGTGGAATTTGTTCAGGACAAAGAAAAACCCATTGGGGAGGGTGTGGAAGACTTGCGCCATCTGGACCACACACCCTTGGCCTTGATGTCAGCAGATGAAGGTGCCTCCCAGGATGGCCTCCTTGGTTCATCTGGTGCCCTGGTTCCTTGTAGCAACGGGACAGGGGCCCCCTTGGATCCTGAGGACCTAGCTGAAGATGTTGTGCCTTACCCCCGTAAGATAACCCTGATCAAGCAGCTGGCACGCAGTGTTATTGTGGCGTGGGAGCCTCCAGTGGTGCCTTTGGGCTGGGGGAACATCTCCGGCTACAACGTGTTGGTTGATGGGGAGCTTCGTGCCAGTATACCTTATAGTGGCAGGACCAAGTGCTTGCTGGAGAAGCTGGACCTGGACGGCTGCATTTATCGGGTGTCAGTGCAGAGCGTCACTGACCGCGGCCTTTCGGATGAACTGCGCTGCACCTTGCTGGTGGGAGCCAATGTGGTGGTGGCACCGTGCGGTATCCGGGTAGATGACATCCAGCGGGACACTGCCGTGCTCGCCTGGTTGCCTAGCAACAGTAACTACAGCCACACTGTGTATGTAGATGGGGCAGAGCATGCTGTGGTGAAGCCAGGAAGGTACAGACTACGCTTCCACAACCTGAAGCCTCTGACGGTGTATAAAGTGACGGTGGTGGCGCAGCCTCACCAAGTACCCTGGCAGCTGCCTCTGGAGCAGAGAGAAAGAAAAGAAGCTGGGGTGGAATTTTGTACTCAGGCAGCAGGTCAGAAGTGTTTGATTTTACATAATGAGACATAAAAATCTAAATAAGAAATGCACAACAGTCTTGTTAGTGTGACGCTTCCAATCAAATCTAATAATTCTCATCATGAATATTTTAGTTTAGGTGTCTGTTCTGTAATGCATAATGGTACTGTACCAAATACGTTTACAATGTGTGTTGTGTATTGTATTTCATCTAGGGCCAACACCATTTTGCAGAACAGGTCAGAATGAAACATCAGTGCTTGGCTGGGTTTCCTCCATTTTACCACCAAACAATATTTAAAGCCAATAAGCAGAGCTGTCATTACCGCTATTATCCCTTTAGGAGAGGGATGATTTTCACATATTGTTCATTTGAATGCAGTCACCGAAGGCATGTGGGTAAAATGGCATTTGGTAGTGGAATTAAAAGTATTCTTCATTTGCAAATAATATTGTGACACACAAGCCCTCTCAAATCTACGCCCAATTCATTGTTTGGAAATCATTTGCAATTTTGCCCAAGTTTGCCACAGAGAGCACATCACCAATTAGGGGACAGTTAAAACACAATTAGTTTTTAGTCTGGTGAATCATCTCCTCATCTTATAATCTGGAAAACACACTGTTCCATACAAGTCTCCCACCACCCCAAACCAAAATGCTTGTATTACGTGCGTATTGTGTGCATTTACTCCTGTCTCAATGGTGTGCATGCTATCCCAGAGTTACGGGGAATCAAAAGACAAAGCTTTATCTCCTGCATGGAGGGTTGGAGGGAACAAAACCCATGGTTTTTATTCTTTTATATTGTTTTTGTGTAGAGTCATGTGATGTGACATGTTATTCCTATATTAATTAAATCACCTCTATACTGCAAAGATTTTAAATAAGAACTTTAGTTAAAGAAATTTTAACCCTTTAAAGCCTGACACATTAACTAGTGACAATTTAAAAGGGTAGTTTTAAAAAAATTACTATATGTTATATAACAATATGACAGTAATAAAAAATAAAATTGGTGCTTGCCAGCTGTAGATCCTGCACTAGAGGGCAGACGGCATGTATAGGACTGGATATGGCAGGATTTTGATGAAGGTGCTAATCCTGATATCTGGCCTGGCCTGGCTAATTCTGATGTCTGGCCACTTTAAAGGTGAATGAAGTAACAATGACAGCATGTGGTCAAGTTTGGTAACTGCAACCCATTTTCAAAGCACACAAGTCACTCTCTCACTCCCGTTCCATGAGTTTTATGGCTGTTTCCAGTTACAGATGAGCACCACAAGGTGTTAGATGACGAACAGACAAGTCACACACAGTAATATAAGTAGATAAATACATTTCACTTTAATATCGAGTTGTTGGAAATTGAAAAATTAGCTAGAGATTATTTTAGATTCCACTACTTGCTTCTAATTTACCGATATCATTGTTAGCTAAATGCTAGCCTCTAGCATTCTTTACTAGATATTAGAGTTAAAAAATGGATGCCATGCATTCTCAGGGGTAGAAGAAATAACGCCTGGGTTGTTCCTGTTACTGGCTTATGATCTTTACAAAATGATGCTGTGTTTTTCTAGCTGGTGTCAAATTACAACCCTGCAGGCTCACAGACTGTAAACAAAGACTGTGTCCCTCTTTGGTCACTTTGTAAGGGCAAAGCTGACAACGCCTAACTGGCTGAAAAGGAAATCTGTTTCAATGTAACCTTCCTTCCAAAATAATAGAGACATTGGACTGTTTTGTGTTTATTTCACTGTACATTTCTAACTCATTGTACCTGTAAGAGCAGAAGTGGTTTAGTATGAATTTGAAACAAGAGTTTACAAAGAATGAAAGTTGTGAAATTTTAGGAACCTTATTACTGAACAAGTCCTCAAAGTCCCATTATGGGGGTTTCCCATCACCGGGCCTGGTCCGGTCAGGTCTGGTTATTTTTGAACTGGTGTTTTTCCGGCATGGGTCTGCAATTTCCAGGCGAGCGTTTCAATCGCAGTTTGGGTCATAAGTTGGCAGGCAGGGTTAAACAATCCGACATGCACAATTGTATAGGTTGTGCAAATATTCAGTATTTCTGTGCTGCAATAAATGGTCGACAGAGCTAAAGACAAAACCAAAATGCTTACCACAGGCTCCACATGTGACTCCAGGGTTCAGTCTTTAAGTTCAGAGGCCTGCCTCGGCTAGAAATAGCATACTGCGCATCACAGCGTATCAACCCCCCCAAAAAAAAAATCCACCCCGGCTGTTTCTGCCCTCAACTTTTCTATATTGGGCTTTAATTTCTTCATCTTGACCCGACACTGTTTCGACGTCCACTCGATTCCTTCGGCTGCCATCCGCTGAGATTAAAAATGTCCTTACCGATCCATCTAGCTCCTTCTGTGGACTCTCTCGATGACGGTGAGGAACGTATGCAGCTCTGAAAGTGACCAAAACTTTCTGCTACTTGCTAGCATTTTTTCATATTCAAGTACAGCTAATGAAAATACAAACAACAAAACTCCGTTTGTTTTGCTTGTTGCAAGTAGTGATGTATTTCTGTCAGCCAATCAGTGGACTGTGTTGTTGCCCCACCTGAGCCGTACCGTTCTAGAAACTTCTGGACCCACAACAGAAGGGGCCACAAAAGTCCAGTGACTGGCGTGGTCCATGTAGGTTGTCTGGACCAGTTTTACAATTGTAAATAGTGCTCCGACCCTTCCCATTTCATGCCAAAATGGTTGATGGAAATGCGCTATTAGTCATTATCACACACTGGTGAAATGACATCTCCCCATCTGACCCATTCCCAAGGACAGCAGTGAGATACAGCTGTGGCTGTGCTCGGGAACTATTTGGTTGTTTAACCCACCAATCGAACCTTAGGTGAAATATCAAAAAATAAACAGTTTTGACATTATCTAATCTAGATGTCATGCAAATCATCTGCATGTATCCACTAAAGTAAATATAAGCTAATATAAGAATTGTAAGTACATCAGCTTAAACTTTCTCTCCCTTCTTCCTTATACCTATGCATTTATCTGCATGGTTGGTATTGTTTGTGCGTTAGAGGAATGCTTCAGTCTGTTTTGAGTCCAGTGATTTTAAATAATTAATTATAGGATGGATTTTTATTTCTCCTTACACGTGTTTCTGATCTGTCAGGGCCACCAATGCCTCCCCTGGATGTGCAGGTGCTTTGTGGGCAGGCCCCAGGGGTCCTGCAGGTCCGCTGGAAGCCTCCCATCCTCTCCCCCACAGGCACGTCTAATGGGGCAAATGTCATTGGCTATGCAGTCTGCACTAAAGGACAAAGGGTGAGTAAGAATGTCTTAGTAATACAGACTCAGACCTCAGCCTTTGTGTTCGTTTGCTTTGTTCAAGGACACATTAGAGACTGATGATGTGGAGCTAATCTTAGTTTAAAGGCTCTGCTTTGGGGGGTGGGGGTGGGGTGGGGGGTGGAATGTCACTGTTGGTGAACATGAAGTTTTCTGATACAGTATTAAACCCTGCAGGCAATGCAATAGTTGTTTAATCATATTTAATACACCTAATGCACATGAACATATATCAATGTTGGGATGTTTTTAGCCTTTACTTTAACATGGTGTCATTGGAGCACACAGTAGTGCCACCTACTGGTAATTCCTATTTAGTGCAAGAGTCTCAATCTGGAACATGAAAATGTCTTGCAAAGGTCTCTCACACCCTCTGGTGACTGCCAACGTACAGGTCCTTCTAAAAAATGTGCATATTGTGATAAAGTTCATTATTGTCTAATGTACTGATAAACCTTAGACTTTCATATATATTAGATTCATTACACACAACTGAAGTAGTTCAAGACTTTTATTGTTTCTAATATTGATGACTTTGGCATACAGCTCATGAAAACCAAAAATTCCTATCTCAAAAAATTTGCATATCATGAAAAGGTTCTCTAAATGAGCTATTAACCTAATCATCTGAGTCAACTAATTAACTCTAAACACCTGCAAAAGATTCCTGAGGCTTTTAAAAACTCCCAGCCTGGTTCATTACTCAAAACCGCAATCATGGGTAAGACTGCTGACCTGACTGCTGTCCAGAAGGCCATCAATGACACCCTCAAGCAAGAGGGTAAGACACAGAAAGAAATTTCTGAGCGAATAGGCTGTTCCCAGAGTGCTGTATCAAGGCACCTCAGTGGGAAGTCTGTGGGAAAGAAAAGGTGCGGCAGAAAACGCTGCACAACGAGAAGAGGTGACCGGACCCTGAGGAAGATTGTGGAGAAGGACCAATTCCAGACCTTGGGGGACCTGCGGAAGCAGTGGACTGAGTCTGGAGTAGAAACATCCAGAGCCACCGTGTACAGGCGTGTGCAGGAAATGGGCTACAGGTGCCGCATTCCCCAGGTCAAGCCACTTTTGAACCAGAAACAGCGGCAGAAGGGTCTGACCTGGGCTACAGAGAAGCAGCACTGGACTGTTGCTCAGTGGTCCAAAGTACTTTATTCAGCTGAAAGCAAATTTTGCATGTCATTCGTAAATCAAGGTGCCAGAGTCTGGAGGAAGACTGGGCAGAGGGAAATGCCAAAATGCCTGAAGTCCAGTGTCAAGTACCCACAGTCAGTGATGGTCTGGGGTGCCAAGTCAGCTGCTGGTGTTGGTCCACTGTGTTTTATCAAGGGCAGGGTCAATGCAGCTAGCTGCCAGGAGATTTTGGAGCACTTCATGCTTCCATCTGCTGAAAAGCTTTATGGAGATGAAGATTTCATTTTTCAGCTCGACCTGGCACCTGCTCACAGTGCCAAAACCACTGGTAAATGGTTTACTGACCATGGTATTACTGTGCTCAACTGACCTGCCAACTCTCCTGACCTGAACCCCATAGAGAATCTGTGAGATATTGTGAAGAGAAAGTTGAGAGAAGCAAGATCCAACACTCTGGATGAGCTTAAGGCCGCTATCGAAGCACTCTGGGCCTCCATAACACCTCAGCAGTGCCACAGGCTGATTGCCTCCATGCCACGCCGCATTGATGCAGTCATTTCTGCTAAAGGATTCCTGATCAAGTATTGAGTGCATAACTGAACATAATTATTTGAGGGATGACTTTTTTGTATTAAAAACACTTTTCTTTTATTGGTCAGATGAAATATGCTAATTTTTTTAGATAGGAATTTTTGGTTTTCATGAGCTGTATGTCAAAATTATCAATATTTGAAACAATAACAGGCTTGAACTACTTCAGTTGTGTGCAATGGATCTAATACATATGACAGTCTAATGTTTATCAGTACATTACAGACAATAACGAATTTTATCACAATATGCAAATTTTTGACAAGGACCTGTATATAAAAACACCTAATCTGAGAGATTACACCAACTCAACACTAAAACCTAAATTTGCTTCAGAGCTGCCCTCTCCTGGTTGAACCTTGGAGTTGTTTTGTCAGTGGCTTCCTGAAAAGCAGGTCTTTTAAAATATTAAATACACTTTTAACATAAAATTCGGAATTGTAGGTTTATATTTTTTGGAACAAAAAGAAAAAATTTCATTTAAATATTAACAAGCCAAAATATATATTAAAGGCCATTATAGAAGAAGAAACTCCAGCCGATTTATTGCATTTTGCTCTCATTAGAGGTCCTTAGCTGGGAATGGAGTGAAACAGTTCTTGTTTTTATGGTATGAAGTCCAGTAAGTGAGTGTAAACATCTACTTCTGATGTGAAGCTGTATATGGGCCCACATTAACTGTGTGCAACACATTACCACCAGGGATTTTACTGTTTTTGAGGAGACGTTGATTAATGACTTCTGTTGGGTTTCCTCCCACAGCCAAACAACAGAACCTTCAGGGTGGCATGTTGATCTGATATTTTAGAGTTGAGTTAAAATAAAATACTGATTGTGCAAAAAAAAAAAAAAGTAAATAAAAATAAAAAGGTGCAAATTCAGGAGTTTATTTTCTATCGGAAAACAAAGTTTTTGTTGCGTTTAATAACATGCTACTGCAAGTTTTGTTCACAACAACATGATTTTCTTCTCTTTACTCCAGATAGCTGAGGTGTTATTCCCAATGGCAGACTATGTTACTGTTGATCTGACAAGGATTCAATGCCTGGAGGCCAGAGAGGTCATTGTTAAGACACTGTCAGTCCAGGGAGAATCCCAGGATTCTCAAGTCGCCATCATTCCAAACAACCTACTTGTGCCTCTAGCTCCGATCCCCCTGCCAGCCCCAATACACCCTCACCCAGGCCCCCCTCCACACCCCCACCCTCAACCTCACCTTCAGTCTCCTCTCATCCCTCACCCCACACCTCAACTCCCTGTCCCCCCTCACGGACAGCCCATCCCACCCCATCCTCAGCACCCACAACCCCATCCAAGACTCCCAAACCCAGGTGGACCCCCTCATCCACAGCCCATGCATCTCCAGCCTCATCCACCACACCAGGGTCCCAGGCCCCAGCACCAACTGCCTCTGCTGCCCCACCCCCACCCTATACCTCTGAGACCAGTAAGTGCCAGAGACATGGATGCCAAAGAGCACATAGCTCACCACAGAGGAGCTATCCCACTTGGACAGCCTGGTTGGGACCCAAATCTGTCTCTTTCACAGCCACTTGTGCCCATGCCAGGCCACACTCTGGAGCCTCCACTCCAAGCCAATCTGCGCTCCCCTTCTCCCCAGAGGATTCTTCCCCAACCCCAGGGCACCCTCATTCCAGACACAGTGGCCAAAGCCATCGCCCGAGAAGCAGCTCAGAGGGTCGCCGCAGAAAGTGGCAAGGTCTGGAAATGGAGCCAAACACATACAAAAGTAACTTTGTGTAGCAATTTCTAATAAAGAAATATAAAAAGAACTAAAAGTTATTATTCTGTCACGCATTTTCTTCCCTTTTTGTTTGTGATTTCAGGGAGACAAGAGGCAGGGAAGATATGGAGAGCAGGGTCCTATTTTTCACCAGCATCCCTCTGACGAGGAAGAGGAAGAAGAGGAAGGATTTGCACGCGGTCGTCGAAGAGGACCGTCGGTCGATGAGTTTCTGAGAGGCTCCGAGCTGGGAAGGCCGGTAAGATCAGATCGAAACCTGTTGAGTCTTTGGCCTTCTTGTGAACACCAGTGTGTTTTACCTGTGTCAGGGTGTGTGTGTGTGTGTGTGTGTGTGTGTGTGTGTGTGTGCATGTCTATCTGAGTGGCTGCATGTACTCACTCCTTCACCCGTTTGTCCATCCACGTGTGCTTTGGTATGTTTGTGGACTTAAACAACTGCGTCTGTGTGTTTGTGTCTCTGTGACGACCAAAAGCCTCACTATAGTCACAATGAAGATTATCACAGCGAGAGCAGCCGGGGCTCTGACCTGTCTGACATCATGGAAGAGGATGAGGAGGAGCTGTACTCTGAGATGCAGCTGGAAGAGGGGGGACGGCGACGCAACTCGCACAACACACCCAAGGTGCAGTCCTTTGCACTTTCTCTAAAACCCCAAAACCAGCCACCCATGTCTGATATTATGGTTTGTAGTGGACTGCAAAAGCAGAAATACTTTAAATGTGACTTAAGTTGCATTTATTTTGTTCTGTTGGAAAACTGCACAGTTTTCAGCTTACTGGAGCGATGTGGGTCCGATTTCCATGTAGAAATCATGTGAAGATGGCTGTAATTTCTCTTAAGAATTTGATTTGTCCGTAGCCATCAATATAAGATGCTAATAACTCAGCTTTTGTGTTGTGGCTGCAAATGGATACCTTGGTGCATGAAAGGATGTATTATTTGGTTACCGTGTTCTTGCAAATACCACAAAAATATGTGCATGGCAAGAAAAGGATCCCAGAGATAAAAGCTGGTGGATTTAAATGCTCTAACCCCCCCCCCCCCCCCCCCCCCCGTCACTGCAGAGAGAGCAGTAGAGAGAGTTTTATGATGCTTTTTAAACACCAAGCAGTTGGTGCTTTGACACACTCTTGTCTCAGCGCTTCAAGGGCCAACCTTAAGAAAACTCATCCACTGCAGTTTTGAATAATTCATGCAAGCGTTTCAGCTTGCCCTTGCAGCTCTTTAGTGTGATCATGATCAGAGAAATTACACAAAGACGCCAAATCTTGTTCTAGTTTTATTTTCAGCGATAAACTTAAACGTAAATATGTGATAGGAAAACCTAAAGGAGGGAGATCCTCAAAGGTTGTGAGTCCACCCGGGATAAAAAGGTTTGTACAATTGCGACAGGCACACAGTGGCTTGTAGACCTAAATCACTAGTACGATTTAATATTTTATATGTCTGAGAAAATTAGAACTCTGGACCATTCTATGAGTACTAACTTCATTTTAAAATTGTAATAGTCCCCATTGGCTTGTGCGTGTTTGAATGTGAGTCTATGTGTCTATGTTTCAGTGCCTGCCTGTGAGTTCTGCATGATTTGTTGATGTAAAGTTTGTGCAATCATGTGGAAATATTTTTATTCTTTAAGAACATGAACGTATTTCTATATTTTTGTGAGAATAGAAATCAGGAATACCCAATGTTTGTGAATGTTCGTTTTTGTATGTGTGTTTCAGACAAACAGTCCCGCTGTAGGTCACCATGATCGAGATGGTGGGAGACGGGTTCATTCCCATCCCAAGAGACGTCCCCTGATGGTCCCCTCTATTGGTCAGTACATGCACATAGTTTTATATATATATATATATATATATATATATATATATATATATATATATATATATATATATATACTTGTTTGGTGATTGTTTTAATGTTTTTGTGGTATAGTATTTGTGTTTGATACTTCAAAACCTTCTTGAGCTTTTTTTGTGTCTCTAGAACACCTTTCTGTCCATAAGCGATGGTCATAACTTTCGGTATGCAGATTATGACTTAGCAGTGCAGTGATAAAGAGATTTTCTACGACCATATTTGCTCTTACACAGTGCTGTGAAAAAATATTTGCCCCTAACAGATTTCCCCTGATTCTGTTGTTGCTGTCTAAATATTTGAGACAAAATATCAGACAAAGATACCCCGAGTGAACACAAAACACAGCATTCAGATGATGATTTCATTAATTAAGGAGAAAAAGGGTAACCAAACCAACCTGGTACTATGTGAAAAACTAATTGTCTTTTTGTTTAATCATGCATTAATTGTAATTAACCCCATTATTTTCAAAGCTGATTTCAGTTACATCAGTTTCCGGTCTGATTGCTACCAGAGCTGTAGAATTAAGATGTCAATGTAAAATAATTTTAGTCTGCTATAAAAAAAATCAATTCACTATGCCCTGTTCTGAAGATATTCAACAACAAAACAGTCTAGAAGAACATCTAAAATGCTATAGAGGTCACAATTCAACATAAGAATGAGTTGTAGCAAAAAATGGCATCCATGGGGTACTAAAACACCCACTGACACAAAGGAACATAAAGGTCTGTTTCACATTTCACAGAAAAGTACTGATAAAAGTACTGATAATCTCCAACATATTTAGTTGACTGAAGAGCGAAAAGTACATATTTTCAAGGTGCTGAGGAAGGTGTTCCATTACATTTGATGCAAACCTAACACAGCCTGTCAGAACCAGATCAGTTCCTGCAGTGAACCCTACTCCCTGGTTTAATGACAGCCTTCGCAGCCTGAAGCACCAATGCAGAAAAAGTGAGCGCTTGTGGAAGAAAACCCATCTCCACGTCCATCTGCTGCACCTAAAGGATCTTCTGACATCCTTTAACTCTGCAGTCAGAGATGCTAGGGTTTCCTATTTTCCCAACCTGGGGTCCCAGAGCAAAGGGAACCCCAAGGTGCTGTTCAACACCATCAGCAGCATCGTCTCTCCTGCCTCTCCTACAGCCTCCATCCACTCTGTTGCAGACTGTGAGAACTTTCTGTCTTTCTTTGTGGACAAAGTCAATGAGGTCAGAGCTAGCATCTCTCCTTCAGCCTTATCGCTGCCTCTCCCGACTCCAACCAGGCCAATTAGACAGCTTTGCTCCGGTTTCTTTGCCTGAGTTAACCAAAGTAGTTAACTCTATGAAGACCTCTGCATGCCCCCTCGACATCTTACCCTCATCTTTGTTTAAAAGTGCTTTTCAGTCCATCTGTCCCAGTGTGCTCTCTATAATTAATGCTTCACTGGTTTCTGGTCAGGTCCCTGCTTACTTTAAGCACGCTGTAATCCACCCACTTCTTAAAAAACAGAGTCTCGACCCCTCTCTCCATAGCAGCTTCAGACCCATCTCTAAACTTCCGTTCATCCCCAAGATCTTGGAAAAGGTTGTGGCTAAACAACTCACAGCTGCTCTTGATGAACATAACATCTATGCTAGCTTCCAGTCAGGTTTTCGTAGAGCTCATGCTACTGAAACAGCTCTTCTTAGGGTCTCTAATGACATTCTGACTCACAGTGATGCAGGGGACTGTTCTGTTCTGGTCCTGCTGGACCTGACTGCAGCCTTTGACACTGTTGACCATCACCTGCTACTGGAGAGGCTGAGAGACTGGGTCGGCCTATCAGGATCTGCTCTGGAGTGGTTCTCCTCTTATCTTTCTGAGCGTTCCTTTTCTGTGGCCGTCTCCAAGTTTAGGTCCTCCACCACCTCTCTTACCCATGGTGTCCCACAAGGTTCTGTGCTGGGGCCTCTGCTCTTCCTCCTCTATCTGCTTCCTCTTCAGCACATTCTGAGCTCCTTCAAAGGAATCTCCTACCATCCTTACGCAGATGACATCCAACTGTACATCTCATTTAAGCCCCATGAGATGTCTAAGCTGCAGCTGTTACACACCTGCTTAGACTCTATCAAAACCTGGATGGCTGGGAGCTTTCTACAGCTGAACAAAGATAAGACTGAGATCCTCATCTGTGCCCCAGACAAGCTGGTTCCCAAAGTCAGAGACTCTCTTGGTCAGCTTGCTTCTCACACCAAACCTTCTGTCAGGAATCTTGGCGTGACCTTTGACCCAGCTCTCACCCTGGATTCTCATGTCAGTTCTCTTGTTCGCTCTTCCTTCTTCCATCTCAGGAACATTGCTAAGCTGAGTCCCATTCTGTCCCGCTCTGAACTTGAGACTGTTATCCACACCTTCATCTCCTCACGCTTAGACTACAACTTTCTATTCACGTGTCTGAGCCAGTGTTGGGAAAATTACTTTTAAAAAGTAATAAGTTATAGTTACTAATTACTTTGTCACAAAAGTAACTCAGTTACTAATTGAGTTACGAGATTATAAAAGTAACTAATTACCAAGAAAAATAAATACTTAGTTACTTTTTTCATTAAAGAATGCAAAAAAATGAGTTAATTGAACTTACTTAATTTACTATAAATTACTACAATAGTGAAATATAAATACTGTAGCGTTAGGAAGTATAATGGTCTGCCCTTAACAGTTGCCCCTTCACACAGTACCATCACCAAGGTCGGACGCTTGGTTCAGTATGTTTACATTCCAGGAGAAGAGACAGAAGAACAGAAGAAGAACGCTTTTCATTGAGTAATCAAAGTACTTTATTTGTGATAAGCTAATCAAAGCATTTGTTGATCATTAATAATCAAGTGAATGATCTGTGAAATAAAGATGTCATGAGTTATGTGTTTAAATGAATAAACAGGGCTGCCCCAGACACACTGATATGCATTACCATGGAAACGCATGACACATTGTTTTCAACCAATCAGAACTTTCGTCTGTGGTAGGGCAGAATCTGGTTTGTTTATGAAAGTAGTCCAATCCGGTTTACTAAGATTCTTAAACAACTGGGAGATATAAAAAGAAGGCAACGCCATTTTAAGTCAGTTCCACGTCAGTCCCACGTTAAGCAGTTACATGTAAACTCAGCTCCAGGACATCCGAGTTCCTAAGGATTTCCATCGTCATCATTAAGAGGAATACAGGCTGGCCATCTGTATTTCCTGTTTTAAGCTGAGAACTGTTCAAGCTGGAGATTTTCCGTCGTTTATACCAACGAGACGACGGTCCTTCAAAATAAGAGTGAACTTGTTGACGCCTGCCGATGCTACCTGAGTCGACCCTTCAGACAGGCGTTGTGTGCTGTGACCGCTGTTTCAACCAGCTCCAGTATCGCTGAAGGTCCGAGACCTGGCAATTCCTGATCTAACACGGGAGGCTCTTCCTGGGTACGTAAATATGGCAAATGGCGGCTCATGTCATCAGCTTCTGAAGCCTCATGGTAGCCTAGTCAAAACAACCAGATTCGCTACTCAGCCTAGAGATTCTGAACAAAACACACACACACACCAACACTAAACATCTACATCCATTTGCATCCATCACTGAGATAGTCCTGGTAGATTGTAAGAATTTATGATTATAGAAATTAAAGATTCTTAAACGATCCCAACTCTCTCTCTTTCTTGTCTCTCAGTCAATACAAAGTGTTTAAGTAAACTCCCTGATGATAAAAATAAACCTCTTCTGATTGATTACTTAGATTGTATAAATATACAAAATCAGGTATATAAATATACAAACTTCTAATCACAACATTATGGCGAGCTTAGCCTGATATCTGCACAGTTTATTACACTTTGTGCCGATTTTGAGACATATTTGGGATTTTTGTTCAGTGTGAGTTCAGAGATCCTAACCCCCCAAGGGTATAGAGCTGGTCTAGTGTTCCACGGCCAGGACAAAGACCACATTACTCCTCCCGAATCCGAGGTTTGACAATCCGTCACACCCTTCTCTCCAGAACTCCTTAAGAGACATTACCAGGGAGGCTCAGGAGTGCAGTTCAGCTGTAGTTGGAACACACCATGCGGTCCCCCTTTTTAAATAGGGAAACCACCACCCTGGTCTGCTAATCCAGTGGTACCAGCCCCCAATGTCCATGCTATACTGCAGAGCTGCGTCAGCCAACACAACCCCACCACATCCAGAGGCTGAAGGAACTCTAGGCGGATCTCATCCATCCCCAGGGCCTTGCCATCGAGAAGATTTTTGACCACCTCAGGGACCTCAGCTCCAGAGATTGGAGGGCCCAACCCAAAGTTCCCAGACTCTGCTTCCTCACTGGAAGACGTGCCAGTGGGATTGAGGAGGTCTTTGATGTGATCTGCCCACCGATCCACAACGTCCCAAGTAGAGGTCAGCAGCACACCGTCCCCACTACAAACAGTGTTGGTAGCGCACTGCTTTCCCCTCCTGAGATACCGGACGGTGGATCATAATCTCCTCGAAGCCTTTTGGAAGTCTCGCTCCAAGGTCTCATGAACTCCTCCCATGCCCGGCTTTTTTCCTCGGCGACCACTCGAGCAGCTTCCCACTTGGCCTCTCTCTGGAGTCCCACAGGCCAACAAGACCCGATAGGACTCCTTCTTCAGCTTGACTGCATCCCCAACCGTCGGTGACCACCAGCAGGTTCAGGGGTTGCCACCACAACAGGCTGCAGCTCTGGTTGACTGCCTTGACAATGGAAGCACGGATCATTGCCTACTCCGACTCAATGTCCCCTGCCTCCCTTAGAATATTTTGGAAGTTATGCCAGAAGTGGGAATTGAAATTTCTCCTGACAGGAGACTCCGCCAGACATTTATTTATGAAAAGGATGTATTTTCACGTTCTTCAACAGCGGACTGCCTCATTGACCAACATCCGTTGCAGCGAGTACGTCAACTTGTTCATTGTCTAGTAGTATGCGGAGACCGTTTGAAAGACAACGTAGAACTCCCCCCAAAACTGAGAGCCATCAATGAAGCATTCTCAGACTAATCATCATCATCATCACATCATCATCATCATCATTTATTTATAATTTAAAAACACAGCGTTTCAGCTGTCCAAAGTGCTGTACAGGAGGGCCAAAGACCATAAAAAACAGTGGTGGGTCACTCTACAAAATAGATAAGAGAGGTGAAAAAGTATAACAAGAAGTAAAAAGGGCCCAATCTAATAGAAATATATTTATTTAGTCTGGCTTGCCAGGCTAATGATCTGGGGCTGCTTTGCTGATTCAGGACCTGGACTGCTGTAGTTAATGCTGCGTTTCTCAATTCCGGTCCTCAGGACCCTGTGCTCTGCATGTTTTTCATGTCGCCCTTTAAACACCAGTGTTTCCTTGCTGCCACACACCTGGCTTAAATGAATGAGTGATTACCAAGCATCTGCAGCACTTGATGTCTTCCTGAAGAATGCAATGCAAATGTGTAAATTAGGTGTGCTGAAGCAAAGATGTGGAAAACATGCAGGACAAGGGGTCCTGAGGACAGAAATTGGGAAACACTGAGTTAATGGAACCATGAATTCATGCTCTTTAGCAAAAAATCTTGAAGATGAATGTCTGACCTTTGACCTTAGTTCATGTTGAAAAACCCCTTCAGTTTGTTGGTTTTGGTCTGTGGTCTGGTCTGGGGCTTGCTGCAGCTTGTTTGGAACTGATCAGGCCCCAACTTTCCTTACTCTTTCTCCAGGAGAGAGGCGCTTGGGACTTTTTCAACTATTTGAACTGTGGCAACTAACTTTAACTTTAACGCAGCAATATTTCAGTAAAAACTATGAGGCAGGGATTCTGTTTTATCTTGGTTTAAAGCAGAGAAAAGGCACAGAGTAAAAAAACAGGAATTCCCGACTCTCTGGAGGTCCCAACAAAAGTCCCTTCACATGGCTGACATCATCTAACCTACTCCTTTGTGGGCCTTTCACCTCCTGCTGTCATGGCAAACTCTGTTTGGATTAGAAACCAAGAGCAACGTGTGCAACATGACTGCATCATGCTGAAACCATGTGAGCAGATAGTGACTTATGTGGTCTCTGCACCTATATAAGTGCAATTCGGATGTCTTGAGAACTGCATTTTGCATTTACTGAGATTATATTTGTTCTGACATTTGTTAGTCGATCTGAAACATTTACAGCAGCAAAACAAAAACAGAAGAAACCTGAAAGGAGGCAAATACTTTTTCACAGGCTAACACATAGCTGCAGAAGCAAATCTCCAGGTTTCATTTTAAAAGAAGTTGTTTGTTGTGTCACCTTCTAACTGGTGTTTCCCTAGAAGTAACCTCTGAGAATAACAGTGAGGAAAACCTCTCCTCCATCACCGAGGAAGTTAACAATGCCAGAGTAGCTCGACACAGGACGTGGTCATCCCGCAGGCACATGGGCGGCACCAGGTCTCCCCATGGTATGTGCGTGCTGAGCTGTTTTTATCACCCCAGCATGGCAGCAGAGAAGGCCCCCGGCACCTGGCAAATGGCAAGATGTAGCTGTGGACACGTGCAATTGCTTGTTTGTTTTATTCGGGATAAGAATTATGGTTGCAATGATGCTTACAGTTGAAGCGCATGACTGCACTGTAGTGGAATGGTGGACACGCGGGCAGGACCTGGGGTTTGCAAAAGGGAGTTCCCACACCCGAGATTAGAAATGATTGACTGCTGAGGGAACGTCATGCACACATTTCCTTTTGAAATGCAACCACATGCACTACAAATACCTTCACTCATAAGAGATGCAGTTAAAAGTAATGATGCCTTAATTCATAGGTTTACTCTGAGCAACACATCTTTAGGGTTGTATTTCTACGTATTGTCACCACTGCTTTTCCTATTACTAAAACTATCAGTGCGTGACTATTATATCATTTAAAACAATTTTTTAATCCAGTGCGCATGTCAGAGTCTTGTCTTATGTTGTCCTGCTCATGACTAGTTTTTTTCTTTAATCCCAGTATGTTGCACCATGTTCCTCACCTGTTTCTCAGAACATTTGAACCTAAAAAGAAGGGAAACTGATTAGAAGTACATGCAGCTTTTATGTATGATTGCATGTGTGTGTGAGTGTGAGTGTGTGTGTGTGTTTGTGTGCACCATTTCTGATCACATTTCATGCATGTGTGTCATGAATAAGATTTTTGGATTTTGTTTTGACTGAGGCAAATAAATGACAAACATTCTATCCCAAATAAACTCAGTTTGTCTATCACACCTCAGAAATCTGATCCAAAGTGGTGAAAAATCACAAAAAAGTATCCTTGCATCATTGCTTCAAAAAAGGCATTTGAAAACATGCCTGCCACTCATTTTAGGTCAGAATTCACATTATTGTAAGCTGCAATGTGGTGAGAAAGTTGTCTTTTGTGTGATTTAGATGGCTACAGGAATCGCCGCTCTCCTACATACTACGATGAGTCAGAACCAGAGGATCCCTTTCGGATCTTCGTGGCCCTCTTTGACTATGATCCTCTGTCAATGTCACCTAACCCAGATGCAGCTGATGAGGAGCTTCCGTTCAAAGAGGGGCAGATCATTAAGGTGGGACAGTGACTTTTAGACCCTTTTAAAAGGGGAATCCGTTTTATAAAACCGTTTTTACTCAAAGTGACCTAAATTCCAACACGAGGAGCTCTAAACGTTTCTCTTTGACTCTTGTATTTGCCAGATTTATGGTGATAAGGACACAGATGGGTTTTACAGAGGTGAAGTAAAAGGCAGGTTGGGGCTCATCCCCTGTAACATGGTGTCAGAGATACGAGCAGACGACGAGGAAACCATGGACCACCTCATCAAACAGGGGTTTCTGCCTCTCAGCACTCCGGTGGATAAAATAGGTGCAGCGCTCACCCTGGGTTCAACTACAAATCTGTGTGTTTAAAGTGACAAATGTGTATTTTTCCTGGCGGTAGGGAGCAGTTCATACCTACATCAAAAGCAAGCAGTATTTTTGTCTTTGAGTAAGCCCTTACAAAAAGAAGGCCATTAGGGTCACAAATCCCCGGGAGCGCAATTTTCGAACGAGTACTACGTCAGATCATTCAACCTCCAGCAAAAAGACAAGCACATCAGACTCCTTTTCATCACTGGCAACGAGTGAAGAGGTAAATGTGTAAAACAACATTTATGAATGCTGAAGGTTTTTAACCATTTGTTCCAAATCACTAAATGTATTTTGTCCTTACGGGCTCCCGTAGAAGGAAACATTGTGTCTAACATGGCGTCACCCAGAGTCTTAGACCCGCTCCCATTTTAGACCCAATTTTTATGGTTATATGTTAAGAAGCCGCCAACATTTTTCAACAACTAGAAATCCTTTAGTTTATTTTGAACAACATTTTGAAGGATGTTTCCAGAAATTAACGGTAAAAACTACACATTGTCTCTTTAAAACAGCATTTACACAAAATAATGATGGCTCTAAGTCAGTAATATGAAAAACATTTACAGTGGGGTGTGAAAGTTTGGGCAGCATTGGTAATCTACATGATTTTCCTCTATAAATTGTTGGTTGTTACAATAAAAAAATCCAGGTAAATATATCATATAGGAGACACACACAGTGATGTTTGAGAAGTGAAACAAAGTTCATAGGATTTACAGAAAGTGTGCAATAATTGTTTCAACAAAATTGGGCAGGTGCATAAATGAGGGCACTACAATAAAGAAACAAACTCAATATTTAGTAGATCCTCCTTTTGCAGAAATAACTGCCTCTAAATGCTTCCTGTAGCTTCCAACAAGAGTCTGGATTCTGGCTGAAGGTACAAACCGGATTCTAAAAAAGTTGGGACACTATACAAATCATGAATAAAAACTGAATGCAATGATGTAGAGGTGCCAACTTCTAATATTTTATTCAGAATAAAACAAATCATGGAACAAAAGTTTAAACTGAGAAAATGTGTAATTTCAAGGGACAAATCTGTTGATTCAAACTTTCATGGTGTCAACAAATCCCCCAAAATTTGGGACAAGGCCATTTTCACCACTGTGTGGCATCTCCCCTTCTTCTTACAACACTCAACAGACTTCTGGGGACTGAGGAGACCAGTTCTTCAAGTTTAGAAATATGAATTCTCTCCCATTCTTGTCTAATACAGGCCTCTAACTGTTCAATCCTCTTGGGCCTTCTTTGTCGCTCCTTCCTCTTTATGATGCGCCAAATGTTCTCTATAGGTGAAAGATCTGGACTGCAGACTGGCCATTTCAGTACCCGGATCCTTCTCCTACACAGCCATGATGTTGTGATTGATGCAGAATGTGGTCTGGCATTATCTTGTTGAAAAATGTAGGGTTTTCCCTGAAAGAGATGACGTCTGGATGGGAGCATATGTTGTTCTAGAACCTGAATATACTGTATTTTTCTGCATTGATGGTGCCTTTCCAGACATGCAAGCTGCCCATGCCACACGCACTCATGCAACCCCATACCATCAGACATGCATGCTTCTGAACTGAGCATTGATAACCCCTTGGGTTGTCTTTGTCCTCTTTGGTCTGGATGACATGGTGTCCCAAATTTCCAAAAAGAACTTTGAATCGTGACTCATCTGACCACAGAACAGTCTTCCATTTTGCCACACTCCATTTTAAATGATCCCTTGCCTAGTGAAAACGCCTGAGCTTGTGGATCTTGCTTAGAAATGACTTCTTCTTTGCACTGTAGAGTTTCAGCTGGATTATGTTCACTGACAATGGTTTCTGAAAGTATTCCTGAGCCCATCCTGTGATTTCCTTTACAGTAGAATTCCTGTTCATGGTGCAGTGTCGTTTAAGGGCCCGGAGATCACGGGCATCCAGTACGGTTTTACGCCCTTGACCCTTACGCACAGAGATTGTTCCAGATTATCTGATTCTTCAGATTATGTTATGCACAGTTGATGATGATAACTTCAAAGTCTTTGCTATTTTTCGCTGGGTAAAACTTTTCTGATATTGCTCCACTATCTTTCTCTGCAACATTGTGGGAATTGGTGATCCTCTACCCATCTTGGCTTCTGAGAGACACTGCCACTCTGAGAAGTTATTTTTATACCTAATCATGTTGCCTATTGACCTAATTAGTGTTTATTAGTCTTCCAGCTCCTCATGCTCAAATTTACTTTTTCCAGCCTCTTATTGCTACTTGTCTCAACTTTTTTGTGATTTGTTGACACCATGAAATTTTGAATCAACATATTTTTCCCTTAAAATGATACATTTTCACAGTTTAAACTTTTGTTCCATGATTTATGTTCTATTATGAATAAAATATTAGAAGTTGGCACCTCCACATCATGGCATTCAGTTTTTATTCACGATTTGTATAGTATCCCAACTTTTTTGGAATCCATTTTGTTCTTTGGACCATTCTTCTGCAATAATAATAATAATAATAATAATAATAATAATAATAATAATAATAATAATAATAATAATTATACTAATATTAATAATAATGATGCTTAGGTTTTATATAGCGCTTTTAACCACTACTGAAAGACGCTTTACAAACAGAGAGGAGACAGTAAAATAAATTAACAGGTTTTAAAGGATTGATTAAACAGGTAAGTTTTCAGGAGTTTTTTTAATTAATGAGGTGAGTCAGCAGTACGAATATGTTGGGGGATAGAGTTCCATAAGGTGGGAGTAGACACAGAGAAAGCTGTGTCCCCAATGGTGCAATGTTTTGAAGTAATTGTGTGAGAGAGGAGATTGGAAGCATTAGATCTGAGACAACGAGAAGGCCGGTGGAGACGCAGAAGGTCAGATAGATAACAAGGGGTAAGATTATTAAGGACCTTGTAGGTGATGAGTAAGATCTTGAACTGAATGTGTTGCTGAATGGGAAGCCAATGAAGGTTATTTTAGGACTGGGGTTATGTGATCTCTCTTGTTGGTGTGAGTGAGGAGCCATGCGTGCAGCTAAGTTTTGAGCATACTGAAGTTTTTTTTATGTGTGTGGATGGAAGACCATAGAGTAGACTATTGCAGTATTCTATTCAAGAGGAGATGAAGGCATGGATGTTTTTTTTTTGTTGCAGTAGAGGACAGAATAGAGCGTAGATGGGCAATATTTTGAAGGTGAAAGAAGGCTGTTTTAGTGATATGACGGATGTGTGGTAGGAAAGAGAGTAAAGAGTCAAAAATGACTCCCAGTTTTCTGATCTAAGGGGATGGATAAACTGTGTAAACATCAATACTGAGCATGAAATCTTTGAAGGAGGTGAGAAGGGATTTGGGTCCAGTTATGATTAACTCAGATTTACTGTAGTTGAGCTAGAAAAAGTTTGTAGACATCTAGAATTTTATGGCATGGAGACAGTTTGTTATAGTGGAGAAAATAGTTGAGGTTATGTTTTTTGTAGATAGGTAGTTTACTGTCATCGGCATAGCAGTGAAATTGGAGTCCATGGTGGCAAATGAAATGCCCAAGGTGTAGTATTTAGATGATGAAGAGAAGAGGACCAAGAACAGAGCCCTGAGGGACACCATGGGTTACTGGGGCGATTTCAGATCTGCAGTTTTTTAAGGAGATAAATTGGGATCTGTCAGAGAGGTAAAATGTGAACCAGGAGAGGGCTGAACCAGTAACACCAACATGAGATTGCAAACAATATAGAAGGATGGAATTATCTATCAAAGGCAGCACTAAGATCAAGGAGAAGGAGTATGAAGAGGGATCCAGAGTCTGATGCCACCAGGAGGTCATTCTTTACTTTGATCAGAGCCGTTTCTGTACTGTGGTGGGAGCGGAATCCAGACTGAAAAGTCTCAAAAAGCTGATTTGAATGAAGAAGTTCAGTTAGCTGAGATGCCACTGAACGTTCAGAATTTTGGCTATTAGAGGGATGTTGGAGATGGGGCGAAATTTTTCAGGATTGTCTTGGTCCAGTCCAGGTTTTTAAGGTATTGGTTTGATGGCAGCCAGTTTGAAGGCCGAAGGGACGGTACCAGAGTTCACTGATGAGTTGATTATGTCCAGGATAAGTGGAGTGAGATATGGAAGACATGATGTTACCAGTGGGGATGGGATTAGGTGCAAGGGGCAGGTGGAGAGATTGATTTTTGAAAATTGTTTGTTGAGTTCCGAAACTGTCATCAGATAGAGGGTAGAGTTTATTTTGGATGAACAGAGGAATATTGGGTGGAAGGTCAGCGTCAAACAGAGTAGTTGTTCCTCTGCATGAAGGTCTTAGTAGATGTTGAGCAGTGTTTAAGGTCATTGTGTTGTTGAAAGATCCAGCCCCGGTGCAGCTTCAGCTTTTGTCACTGATTCGTGGACAGTGGTCTCCAGAATCTGCTGATAGTCAGTGGAATCAATGCATCCCTCAACTTTAAGAAGATTCGCGGACCCTGCACTGGCCACACACCCCACAGCATGATGGAACCACCACCATGGTAAATGGCATGCACTGTATTTGTATAGCGCCTTCTCAGGATTCTATAACCCCCTAAGGCACTTCACAACAAAATCAGTCATTCACTATTCACATGCTGGTGGGGATGAGCTAGTATGTAGCTACAGCTGCACTGGGGCGCACTGACAGAGGCGAGGTCTGCTGAACACTGACGCCACAGGTCCCTCCGACCACCACCAGCAGACAAGGTGGGTTAAGAATCTTGCCCAAGTACACAACAGCAGCATTCTCTGGTCGGAGCTGGGATCGAACCTGCTACCTTCCGATTACTGGACAACCCACAATGTAGTTAGCGTTTCTCTTGGAATGCTGTGTTATTTTTCCTCCATGCATAACGCTCCTTGTTGTGCCCAGATAACTCAATTTTTGTTTAATCAGTTCACAGCACTTTATTCCAAAATGAAGCTGGCTTGTCCAAATGTGCTTTAGCATACCTCTGTGCTGTGAGCAGAGAAAAGGCTTCCTCTGCATCTATGCCTGTGGTCTTCCATTTCCTCAATATGTTCCAAACTGTGAAAACACACAGCAGGAATCTCTGAGACAGCTTTCTGTCTTCTTCCCCTAAACCATGATGGTGAGCAATCTTTGTTGGTCATGTGAGAGTTGTTTTGAGACCCCCATGTTGCTACTCTTCAGAGAATATTCAAAGAGGAGAGAAACTTACAATTGGCCCTCTTAAATACGCTCTCATAATTGGATTCACCTGTGTGTGGAGGTCAAGGGTCACTGAGCTTCCCAAACCATTTTTGTTGCAATAATTAGTTCTAAAGTTTTTGGAATCAATAAAATGAGGACAGCACCCACATTTATGCACCTGCCTAATTAAGTTTAAACAATTATTGCACCCCTTCTGTAAATCATAAACTTCGCTTCACTTGTCAAACACTCAACTCACTGAGCGTGTCTCCTATATGATATATTTACCTGGAAATGTTTATAGTAACAACCAACGATTTATACAGGAAAACCATGAGTATTAACAAGGCTGCCCAGACTTTCACATCCTGCTGTATTTCAAATTAACAACAAAAAAGGGTAAAAAATTCTATATGTTTGGTGTCATCTTTTGCAGTCGCATGTATCTATGGGCCTGAGTTTTAAATAAAATGATGTGTCCTTTTAAAGTGCTTTATATTATCACCTCCAGAGCAGAACAGAAGAAGCCTCCGGAGAGATCAGGCGTCGAGGAGAATGGTGGCATTGTATGACTATGACCCCAGAGAGAGCTCTCCTAACGTCGATGTTGAGGTATCGCACTTCGGCCATTTCAAAATGTCCATATTGGTGAATAGGTTGTTATGTAAATTTATGAAATACAACAAACATTCAATGTAAAATGTGAGGTGAGTTAATTCTCATCCAAATAAACCCAAATAGAATCCAATAGACGATAACCGACGGCTTAATTACTTATTCACAAGGATACAGTCATGTATTTAATTATTGAGATATGCGATTGTTTGTTTTGCACTATACTACAGGGTACTACTGTAGATCTTTTTTTTTATGTATATATTGTATATCATATTTCTATTTCACCTGTTCCTTTGTCTCTCCGACTGCTTTGAGCATGTACATGACACAAGAATTTCCCTCGGGATAAATAAAGTTGTTCTTATTCTTATTCTTAACTGATGGTCTGTGTTTCTGTCCCCTGATAGGCTGAGTTGACCTTTTGTGCTGGTGACATCATTGCAGTGTTTGGAGACATTGATGAAGATGGGTTTTACTATGTGAGTGATGCTTGACCGTCTTTTTAATCCATTATCAGTAATTTGACTCTTTTTTTTTGAGTCTGAAGTTGTTTCCAGCTCAAGCAACAAAGTTATAAAGGTTCATCTTCAGAGGATCTGTGTTTTCAGATTCTGTCATACAGGTGCTGGCCAGTAAATTAGAATATCATCAAAAGGTTGAAAATATTTCAGTAATTCCATTCAAAACGTGAAACTTGTACATTATATTCATGCAATGCACACAGACCAATGTATTTCCAATGTTCATTACATTTAAATTTGATATTCATAAGTGACAACTAATGAAAACTCCAAATTTGGTATCTCAAAAAATTAGAATATTCTGAAAAGGCTGAATATAGAAGACACCTGCTGCCACTCTAATCAGCTGATTTACTCAAAACACCTGCAAAGGCCTTTAAAAGGTCCCTCAGTCTTGTTTTGAAGGCACCACAATCATGGGGAAGACTTCTGACTTAACAGCTGTCCAAAAGACAATCATTGACACCTTGCACAAGGAGGGCAAGACACAAAAGGTGATTGCTAAAGAAGCTGGCTGTTCGCAGAGCTCTGTGTCCAAGCACATTAACAGACAGGCGAAGGGACGGAAAAAATGTGGTAGAAAAAAGTGTACAAGCTCTAGGGATAACCGCACCCTGCAGAGAATTGTGACGACAAACCCATTCAAAAATGTGGGGGAGATCCACAAAGAGTGGACTGCAGCTGGAGTCAGCGCTTCAAGAACCACCACGAGGAGACTCATGAAAGACATGGGATTCAGGTGTCGCATTCCGTGTGTCAAGCCACTCTTGAACAAGAAACAGCGCAAGAAGCGTCTCGCCTGGGCCAAGGACAAAAAGGACTGGACTGATGCTGAGTGGTCCAAAGTTATGTTTTCTGATGAAAGCAAGTTCTGCATTTCCTTTGGAAATCAAGGACCCAGAGTCTGGAGGAAGAGCGGAGAAGCACAGAATCCACGTTGCATGAGGTCCAGTGTAAAGTTTCCACCGTCAGTGATGGTGTGGGGTGCCATGTCATCTGCCGGTGTTGGCCCACTCTGTTTCCTGAGGTCCAGGGTCAATGCAGCCGTCTACCAGGAAGTTTTAGAGCACTTCATGCTTCCTGCTGCTGACCAACTTTATGGGGATGCAGACTTCACCTTTCAACAGGACTTGGCACCTGCACACAGTGCCAAAACCACCAGCACCTGGTTCAAGGACCATGGTATCCCTGTCCTTGATTGGCCAGCAAACTCGCCTGACCTTAACCCCATAGAAAATCTATGGGGTATTGTGAAGCGGAGGATGCAATACGCTAGACCCAACAATGCAGAGGAGCTGAAGACGACTATCAGAGCAACCTGGGCTCTCATAACACCTGAGCAGTGCCACAGACTGATCGAGTCCATGCCACGCCGCATTACTGCAGTTATTGAGGCAAAAGGAGCCCCGACTAAGTATTGAGTGCTATACATGCACATTCTTTTCATGTTCATTCTTTTCAGTTGGCCAACATTAGAGAAACAAACATTTTTTCATTGGCCTTTAGAATATTCTAATTTTCTGAGATACCAGATTTGATGTTTTCATTGGTTGTCACCTATAAATATCAAAATTAAACGTAATAAACATTGGAAATACATTGGTCTGTGTGCATTGCATGAATATAATGTACAAGTTTCACGTTTTGAATGGAATTACTGAAATATTTTCAACCTTTTGATGAGATTCTAATTTACTGGCCAGCACCTGTAAGTGTTTTTGTGGTGAGTGTAGCTAACTGGCTAATGGGATTATTTCAAGAAAAACCAAATTATGATGAAAACATTTTCCAGGAACTGACTGCATTGCTTTTGAACCCATACTTGAAGGCCTGCAAGTATTAAATTATTATTATTAATTTAACTAATATTTATTTAATGACAACCCTGCCAAAAAATAAAATTGAAATTGATACATTTGAAGTGAGGGAAAGAAATCAGCTCATAATAGCGAAAATATCTAAATCTATTTTTTTTTTTACATTTGTGCCTTATCTAAAACAAATACGCATCACATTCATCCATCCATTCCTTTTTTATACCCGCTAGCCAAACAGTGTCGCAGGCGGTTGGTGCCTATCTCCAGGAATTTCTGGCCAGCAGGCAGGGTACACCCTGGACAGATTTCCAGTAAATTCCAGAGAAACAACACAGAGGGCGAACAATCAAGCACACACACACACACACACACACACACACACACACACACACACACACACACACACACACACACACACACACACACACCTAAGGACAAGAGAGACCAATCAACCTGAGTTATGTTTTTGGACAATGAGAGGAAACCGGAGTACCCGAATAAAACCCACGCATGCACTGGGAGAATATGCAAACTCCACGCAGAAAAACCCGAGACTGGGATTTGAACCTAGGACATTCTAGCTGCAAGGCAACAGTTCTAACCACTCCACCGCTGTGCAGCCCACATCATAGTCAGTCTAATACACTTTAATGTAATCAGTCCATTTTTACAGGGAAATGACTTCCTTGGAAACTATAAAACTTCGGGTCTTGTTCACAGATGAGGGAAAGATGGAGCAGGAGATACACAGGGGAATTGGTGCTGTGTCTGCAATGATGCAGGCGTTGCGCCAGTTTGTCGTGGTGAAGAGAGAGATGAGCCACAGGGCGAAACTCTCGATTTACCTGTTTATCTATGTTCCTACCCTCACCTATGGTCACAAGTTTTGGGTAGTGACCAAAAGAACAAGACTGCGGATACAAGCGGCCGAAATTTGCTTTCTCTACAGAGTGGCTGGGCTCTACCTTAGTGATAGGGTTAGGAGATTGGTCATGCGGGAGGGGCTCGGAGTAGACCTGCTGCTCCTTCACATTGAGAGGAGCCAGTTGAGGTGGCTGGGCATCTAGTTAGGATGCCTCTTGGTCCCCTCCCTGGTGAGGTTTTCCAGGCACATCCCACCAGGAGGAGACCTAAAGGAAGACCAAGGACACCCCAGAGGGACTATGTCTCACGGCTGGCCAGGGAACACCTTGGAATTCCCCCAGAGGAGCTGGCCAAAGTGGCTGGGGAGAGGGAAGTCTGGGCCTCCCTGCTTAGGCTGCTGCCCCTCAACCCGACTCCGGATAAGTGCATGAGAATGGATGGAAACAAAGCAAGATCATGACGGAGACTAAACAAGATTTTATATATAAAAAAGACAATACACTGTTAAATCACACACACACACACACACACACACACACACACACACACACACACACACACACACACACACACACACACACACACACACAAACAAACAAAAATTATTTTGTTTCATGTAAAGATAAATAACCGTGAGAAAGTGGATCTTATTTTAAGGAAGATTAATGTTTGAACTTCACATCATCACAGTTGCACCACCACAAAATGAATGCTCACCAAGCTGGAAGGACTTTGGATCTGATTACTCTACAATCAGACAAATTCTTCATCAATATAGGACCACTTTTACCCTCCCCCAAAAGCAGAAACAGACCAAAAATTAGGTCATAGATCCCTCTTAATGAATCGTTTTGTCTGCAGCTGCGTATATTGTAACAGGAGTTAACTCCAACATGGACATTTTCTGGTGGATTATGGAACATATTTTAGAGTTTTTAGCCACATGTTTTAGCTATGTCGCTCAATTCACAAATGCACAAATATCACAAGTTATCCATTACTGTAAAGGTGACTAATCAGGCTTCCCAATGGTATATGATTTAGTGCCAAGAAGCTTTGCTATACTTCAGAATACATCCCAGGATCCTGTTTTTCTGCTCTAACACATTTCTCTCCACAGGGCGAGCTCAACGGCCACCGCGGTCTGGTCCCCTCTAACTTCCTGGAAGAAGTGCCTGATGACGTGGAAGTGTATCTGACCGACACCCCGTCCCACTACCCCCAGGAAGAGCCTGCCAACCGGCCCCCCTCCACCATCTCAGAGGGAAAACGGGTACATCATCATCGCCGCTCTCAGCGCTAGGCCCTGTGTTCATCCATCCTCCGTCCTCTCTCTTAATTTCCGTCTCTTGCTTCCACTTGCAGTCTGTGTGCTGTTCATTGTGTGTGTTTGTCCATGTGGTGACAGTGGTGACTCTGTACAGACTAACAACCCCCCCCCCCCCCCCCCCTACCCCCTCACCCTTTGGAAAGGGGAGAAAAATCCAATGTTGACACCTTTCTTAATCTCAGAGAAAGGAAGAAGCAAAGCCTGTGGACAGAGAGAGGATAGACTGTGGGACCTCTGCAGGTGCTTCATGCATGGTAAAAGAGGACTTGTAAATCTCATTCCTCCTTACACTAAATAATTTGGTACCTCTTTGCACTGAAACACACAATCAAATTGTGGTCATTGTGTATAATTCCATTAATAAAAAAGTGCTTTATCAACACCTGATAATTGCTACCCAATCTCACTCAAAGAAATTATTTACAAAGGAAATTTGAAGTGTAAAGTAAAGAGAAGCATGTCTTTTTTCAAACTTGATACATTTTATAACTTTCTTGGCTCTTGTGTATTTCCTTAAAGAGGCTTTGTTTCTCTCGCCCACACATCAGATCTATTTTTCAGCTCTGTTGACGGTGGATGTGCCATGTTTGCTCTGAGCTCAAGAGACAAAACTAACCGCAGCATTGACTACATCTATTCTGTATTGTTCCAATGAAACAATAAAAAGGCAAAAATTGGATATTAAAAGCATTCTGGTTTTCGCTCTGTGTTCATGTGTGGTAGTGGTGTTGTTTTTCTTTTTTCCTTTTCAGTTGTCATAGTGGTGTGGGTTTTCTCGACAGCGACAGTCTTCCACTTCAGATTTCATTTTTGTTTTTCCCCTCACCCGCTTGGCAAACCAAAACAAACAAGCAGAGGAAGATTGTTCATTTCACAGCATAAGTGGCTTGTACAGTAAGTCAACAACTTGAGATATCAGACTCGCGGCTCTAATGCACGCAGCTGGCTGTGGGGAAGCCTCATTTGGCATTACGGGATGTTTTACGTCCATCTTGGCTTTTCTTTGGGTTTACTGTTGCTAAAATGCTCCATTTGTCATGACAATTTTAAGGAAATTGTTTTAATCAAGACAAGTGTCAGAAAAATCCGAGCTTATATATGAAAACCTCCTCCTACAAGCTGCTGCATTAAAGGAGACGGCTGAAATCTGCAGTTGTGTCCCTGAGTGTTGTACGGTACGTGACTCTGCTCTCCGTTTACCTTCTGGCCTACTGATGGTGGAGTTCCTCACCTCTGTGGTGAGCTGATGTTGTGTTCAGCGTTTGATGGCCTCATCCTTTGTGTTTCTTTTTCTTCTTGATGTACAATGTGTGAATTTGTTTGATAAAACATTTTCCTGCTTGCAGTTTAAAGAGATATTCTACCCAACATGGACATTTTGTCTGTTCCCAGAGTTAGATAAACAGAAACTAAAACCTTCTCAGTGGCCTAGTGGTAGAGTAATCACCCTGGGACTGGGAGATTCAAAACCCAGTTGGGTCATACCAAAGACGTTAATAAATTGGTACCCAATGCCTCCCATTTGACACTCGGCTTTAAGGGTTGGGACGGTAAAGGTGACTGAGTGAACTAAGGACTTTTTTTTTACTCACAATGCTAGTTGGATCCACTTACTTTGTTTTATGCTAAAGTAAAGCTAAAGGAGTACAGCTGGATCAGGAGAATGACTGAACTGGTCAAACTTAGTTTTTTTCCCCACTTATCTAACTCTGGAAAATATGCCAACATAAAACATTTCTATTTTGGATGGAATGTCCCAAACCATTACAACATGGTCCTAATCAATGTAAAGTCTACATGATGTATTTCCTTACACCAGACGGTATAGGTTTTATGTCATGCTTTTGTACCCTGCATCCTGATGTTCTGTACCTCTTCAGCATCTCTGAAGTGGCTCCATGTATCAGAGTAAATGACACAAAACAAAGTTGAGTTTGTTTGAAGGAAGGAGGAGCTTTAGCTGTTTTCAAGCTGAGTTTTTTACAACAAATACCTGAAAACTCCTCAGCAGCTTGACATTAATAAAAAAAAGTAGGGTGGATTCATTTTTTTCACAGAAATAATAAAAACAATCATTTCAAACATAAATTTTCTGTGCACTTTAGCAGAATCGTTCTACCACAATTAGCTAAACACAGCTTGAGAGATCGGTTTTAGCCTCGGGCTAATATTTCTGCTACCTTTGTTAGTGCAGCTTCTTTGACATGCAGTGTACCTGCTTTACAATAGTTCCCATTGCTATATTTAATTATATGAGCTAATTATGACTTTAAGGTGTAATGTAATATACCCTTTAAATGTGAGATACTGAAGAAATGGATTTTAAACACAGTGCTTAAAATATTTCCCTAAAAACAAAAAAATTGGCCAAATCTGACTTTTAAACTGAAACAACAAGTAAAACATTTTACAAGCAAACATTACAAGATTCTAGGTTAATTGGAAATATGTCAACCAAATGTTTTATTATATAAACAAAGTAGAAAGTGTAGATTCTTGGAGAAACCCCTATGCAACGAATCCGTGTCATTTATAATCTTCTTTGGGCAGAAACATGAAGGGAGATCACTGCGTGAGCTCAGAGATTCCCCAGAAAACCATTTTGAGGAAACACAATTAAACTTGGCATCCACAAATATAACCATCATACAAAGACTTTCTAAATTATTAGCCCAATGAAACCAAAAGTGAAACTGTCCTTGGTTAAATTCTAAATTTGGCATTTAGAAGAAATGTTTTTCAGTAAAAAAAAAAGGAAAAAGAAATGACAATCACATATATTTAATGATTAACTAAAACCATGAAGTTTATAATTTTTTTTGTTGCAGATTTCTATTGTGCCGTCCCTCTGATATAGGACATATATAATGATGCATTATTGTGCATGTTCGGAGAAGTGATTATTGCATCTCTGACGTTGCTTTGCACATATTTTCAATCTAATGTATGGCCATGGTTTTCTTTTCTGTCAGATATTTCATTTCATTTTGCAAGATAATGCATATCAAACATCAAATATGGGTTATGAATTCTTGAATAGCCTTTAATATATTTTGTTTTCATTCAGACTTAATACAAAGGCTCTTCATTGATTACAGAAGTCTAGTATACAGACAATGCATTCCCAGAGCAGCTTAGATAAAGAAAAGTGAAGAATTGCATCATTTGTAATCCGTCGTCTCCTGCCTCCACTCCTCCCCATCACTTATCTCCTCAGGTTACCACAGAAACCACTGACACGGCTAACAACATCATCACTCCCACCCGGACCCCATCTCCAATTGTTCGCCCCCTGCTTCCAGGAACCATGAGACCCCTCAGCCCTCCAAGGGGTCCCCATATCCCGTTGGACCCCCGGGACCCCCACGATCTGGCTAACAAGAAAAAGAAAGGAATACTTTCCAAGGGAAAGAAACTACTGAAGAGACTTTCCCCTGTGAAATAAAATTCAAAACAGCATAAATGTACAAAACCTGTGGGGCTTTGTAAATAGCATCCATACAATCAACTCTGATCCAACAGCACCTGACAGAGTGGACATCCGTCTCCTGGACTGTGTGAGCCTGATAGGTGATGCGACAGTAATGGATACAAATCATGTGAATTTTGTGCAGTGCAGTGCCAAAATTAAGAGTCACTTTCAGACACAAATACATTTTACTGTGATTTATTTTAAATTAAAAGGCAGTTTTAATAAAACAAAATAAAACTAGGATTTTCATGACATGTTATTTTTCTTTATTTTTAGGTAAAAAATGTAATCGCAAAGGTCTGAAGCTGGGTAGCTTTGAAAAAGTGTTTTCAAAACACTTTTCTTAGTAAAGAATGTGAATTTTTAAGGAGGCGCCACGGGAAAATGTCACCTAGATAACACTGTTATGAAGCATTCTGTGAAGCAATGCCGGCTGCTAACTAGAACCTTTTCTCAGTGCAACGTCATAGAGAGATAGTAGCATAACCTGGAGACATTATTGCACGCGTACCCTCTGGTACTCATAAGAGAAAAGTGTTTCTGTGGTGAAAGAAAACACATTAAGAAAAAGTTAGAGCAGATTGGCATCAGGGCATTAAGCACCGGGCTAGCTCAGCTGTCTCAGTGGCCTTTATGAAAACAATGAGAATGACACTCCTGGTTCGATTACAAGAATGACTTACAACAGGTTTTTGTTTCATAACTGGTCGCCTGTGCTTTGACATTTTTAGGAAATAAATTAGAGCAGTAATGTCGGTTGTCTTTGCTGTGAAACAGTCATGAAACGCCTAGTTCAAGCTTAATTTTTGTGTCCATCTCCTGATTGCACAAATGTTTTTTTTTTGTCTGATGACAGGCTGCAGACATACAATGTGTGCCTGTGTGTGTGTGATGCATTTATGTTTTGCGCTTTCATATCTGTTGTACTCTGTTTTTCTTCATTTCTGAAAGAAAGGTAATCTAATTATTGGTCTTGTGATATATGGTGATGTGCTGCTACTTCCATTGACTGCACTGTGTAGTTTGGTTGTCTCACGCAGATATACAGCTAGTGGGACACACTAAAGCCACATACTGAAAACAACTAATCAAAATATTGAAGCATGAATTGTTCTCTGATTTTGTCAGAAAAATAATGTCTGTAGAGAAATATTAACTCATTTATCTTGAGTTTGGTATTGCTAATATTTACGTTCGACTTGCACTTAAAGTACACAAGGACTATACTACACACTTTTTTACAGGTTAAACAGCTTATATGTGATTATCAAGAAGAGACCTGTCACAAAGCAAATTTCCATCTTCATTCCTATCATGGTTAAAGATTTAAGGCATTAAATGAGTAGAGCAGCTTGATCAGAACAGGATCAGCCTGGGGCCGCTGGTTCAGATGGACCAAGCTGTTGATGAGTTGCGGTTGGTTTCATAGAAAAAGTTTTAATCAGACTGATCAAAAAATTTGCTTGAGATATTCCCTGCTCAATAAGTGAAATCAAATCTCACGACTGACATTTAGTTTATCCTATTTGTGAAATAACCAAAATAACAAAATAAGTAAATGATTACTTGAGTCTGACAACAAGGTGAAGATGAAGAGGCTAAACTTAGAAGTACGGTTGCCTTGTCTATAGCTTACTTGAAGGTATTGGTGTTTTTAGCCCACTTTAACCACTCTGAGTTACACATTCATGCTGAATGTGAAAATCATCTTCAACCCTTATTTCCTGCATTTGAAAGAAAACAGACAGTGAAAGTCTCGAGTCAAAAATGACCTACACAATCAGCTCAGCGTGGCCCGAATAGGCTCAGCACACTTACATTGGCATTGTCCATGTGGAGCCGGCCGCGTTTTTCAACCCTGCTTCCCTACAGTTTTTTTTTGCTGAAGCAACCTAGCACACCTCTCTAAGAGCTGATTGGCTGGCTGAAATGAGGTCACTCATGCCTCTGAAGCTTTATATACGATATTACTGACTAACAAGCACTTTTCCTGACACGTTGTCTGCTTTGTAGCCACTGTAATGTTTCTTCATTCTGCAAAACAGCTTCCTGGAGATTCTATAACTCCTCTGGGCCTTAAGCCTTGCTTGGTGATGCCTTCTGGCATGCTATGAACACAATTTCTTCCTCAAAAAAAAAAAATGCCACGGTCCAAGTACCAAGTAGTACCCTGACGTCCTGTGTTTTTAATAGTCTTATCCCAGTCCTATGTGACAACACAGACTTCTCAGCCCCACTTTCTAAGCGGGGCCCACCCATGTTCTCACCCACAACCACGTTCCTGAGAGAGCTGTGTAACACAACCAGTCCGTGCGAGGGCGGGCTGTGCCCACCCAGGTCAGGCCAAAAAAATAAAAATAAAAATACAGACATCTCAACGTCACACTGTAGATTCATGGACTCAACTTGACTTGCGACCACGGCAGGCAGTGCTGATTTTGTGGCAAGGAAAGAGCAGAGTGTGTTTCGGCTAGTAAAAGATAACCGTTAGCATGAGCAACTCCACAATATGGCAGAACTGCTTCAGGCTTGTGTCGTTTGTAGAAATAAAACATCAACTTTTGCAGAGCAAACGATAGCAATGGAAGAGTTGCTTTGTTGGTCAGTCATAGGCAAGATGTTCACAAATCATGAATAATAATGAAATGACTCCAAATCCTGCCATTTTCTGCACCCATTTAGCTCTGTCCAGTCTTTTATATGGCACATCATGCTAACAAGCTTTGATAAAGTAATAATAGTGAACTATGCCAGTGAACTACACTATTAAGATCATAGAAATCCATACTCATAATTGATTTCAATTTGCTCACCACAAACTATGCTTGTAAGGTCACGGATATGCAAATCCGTGCAATTCAAAGAAACCCTAGACCCCTTCTAATCCGTTAGGGCATTGGAATGACTATCTAATAACGGCTTATACTGTACATTTAGAAGTGAAGTAAAGTTTGCAAACAGCTTAAGGATTAATATTCTTTTAGTTATTCAAATCATAGCTTAATACCTGTGTTGTTTATAGAGTATAACAACATTTGCAGTGATTCTTTAAATTTGTCAAAACATTTTCATAGTAAAGAAGAAAGTTGAATTTTATTTTCAAATTAAGAAAAACTCCTTATTTTAAAGGATGAAAAACTTACTAGGAAGTCAAATCTCATTTATAATAAATCCTAACAGACATGGAGAAAATCAATGAAAACACACACAACTCATTCCTACCTCAGTTTGATAGGATTATTGGGAAATGCTATAAATGTTTACTCTGATTGGTAAAATAAATTTTCCAAATGCTGTACAAATATTTGTGTGTCATGCAGCAGCATAGAAGTGCTCAAAAACTAAAATACTACCTTAATAAACAATGTGACTCATAGCTTTATTTATCCGAACACTTTTTGTTGAGTTTCATTTACATGTTCGTCACCTGCTCTTTAGTTTAATTAGTTCATTCTGCCCTTGGCAGATGTAAGTCTATTGCATAGAACAAGGTTCACCTTCATTATCATTGTTCATAAGTTGATGACAAAGGAAGGCTAACGGTGAATGTCAGAAGAATTTGGACAGGTTTAAATTTCAGTTAATTTCTGTTCCAGAACTGTTTGTGAGAAGTTTCCAATCTGTGTCCGTTCTGTCTCCACTTTGAAACCACAAGGTGTTCATAAAACCAAAATATTCGCCTGTGAATGGGTGTGGTGTCTGAAAACACTGTAGCTCTTTTGTACTTTGATCCATTTGTAGATAATTTCTAAACTGTTTCTACTTGATTTTACGACAGCCTTTTTTAATTGCACTGAAATGTCCTCTCAGTCTCTCTCTCTCTCTCTCTCTCTCTCTCTCTCTCTCTCTCTCTCTCTCTCTCTCTCTCTCTCTCTCTCTCTCTCTCTCTCTCTCTCTCTCTCTCTCTCTCATAAAAGACTGCAAGCATTCTTCATAGTGTCCTTTGAAATCACATGTATCGGTCCACCATATGTGCTTGCTTTGTGAATTAAGATTTTAAAAGAACAGAAAAAAAGATATAGATGGTATTTATGATAACTAACTATGTGTGGGTGTATGTGTGAAAAACAACAACTTTTATAACCAAATTAAATTTGATATTTTTCAGAAAACATGTGCGTCATTTTCATTTTGACATGATGTACAAGAAGCTAAACACCCAGTATAGTTTTCTCCTGGCTCCAGACATTGCACTGGTAATGCTTGTTTCTCAGCATGCTCATCAATCAAGGAGTGCCTCAAGGCTGTTCTCTTGGACCACTAACTTGTAATACTTCTGCTGATATAAGACATGTTCTAACAAGTTCAATAAATGACAAACAAATTTCCAAGATCTCTCAATCGCCCATTAAACTCCCCCAAAACACTACAATTCTACTTGAATGCAAAAGGCTGTGAGATTTTGGCTGTAGCCCAAAAGGCAAAAGTTGGAGATCTCCTTCTAGGGAAAGAAAGGTACAACATCTGTACAATTTGCAACCTTTGAGTCAGACATAAAATCCAGTTTATATCTAAACTCATCTCATCCTCTTTGACTCTGTAGCAGGTTTCCTTAACCATGTACTCAAAGCCTCCCAAATGAACCACTGCAATAACTCATATTATTTAAAAGCCAAGGACAGACTTCAACATCTTCAAAGAGCCACTGTTAGTGTTCTCACTTGGATCAGGCATGGACATTACATTATTCAAAACCATATTTGACATCTCTGGATTAAAATTAAGTTTTATTTGCACCCTGTTGTCCTTGGAATTTCAGATTGTCCGATACCAGCCTGTTTTCCATTCCTGACATCAGAATGAAAACTTGTTATGAGAGATCTTTCAAAAATTGCAGTCCTGGCACTCTAGGATGGACTTCTTGTAAAAATGATCACTTTATTGCCAGATCTATCTAGCCTGGCAAACCACCATATTTAACCTTCTCATTGGCCTAGTGGTATGAGTGTCTGCCCAGGCACTGGGAGTTAGCTCCCATGCGCAGCCACGACTGCAGCTCCCCGCTCCCCACGGGGATGGGTCAAATGCGGAAATGCTATCTGACCAGTGTGAGATCATGTGTAGTGATGATAACATCATGTGCATATATGGCCTGGCCATGATCCATAGACAGAGTCTGATCATGGAGTGGAATCCGCGGTCGTCTTTCAACAGGGAAGTCCACCATACATGGTTGAAGAAGATGCAAATACATCCTATTTCTATAAAAGGTTTTAAGTCCCTATAGCTGCTCTTGACTCAAAAAAAGAAAAGAAACTCTAAGTTTAAAAAGTCCAGAATTGATGCCAAAACCATTTCACATGTCACTATGGAGCGTGGCCAGCATGCAGAGCTAAATCATTTTGCTTCAGCTACTATCCGTCTATATTTCTAGGCTAAGTCCATTTTCTAAACCTGATTGATCCTGCTTAGAGTCAAGGGAAGCTGGTTTCCATCTGCAGGGGCCATTTTGTGAGAGGTGGGACATTCTCTTGAATGGTTGCCAGATGAACACATGGTAGCATTGAACGATCATTCGTGAACACTCTCTCACACCAAGGGCCAATTTAGGATCACCATTTAACATACTTGGCATTGAACTGTGGGAAGAATTCTGAGTGCCTGAAGATAATCCACGCTCTCTCAAAATCTACAAAGAACTTTTTTTTCAAAGACTGCGAAACAGGCTGCATCACCATATACAGCCTTGATCCTTGGGTGCATATTTTTAACACTAGTTATTCAACGAACAATGCTGTGCAAATAAGCTTTCTCTTGCACACCAGTCTGCAACCTGACTATTGTTTGTGTTTTTGTTCTAATATTTAATGTAAAGCTTTGTTTGGTTTCATAAAAAGTCCTATTTGAGTCTCTGTCTTAATTATTGTTTTGACAGATTAGCTGGCAGGCAGCCAGTTTTCATCTGTTTAAGAGATGAGAGAATTATTGTGAATGACAGGATTCATTTTCTGCAGCGTTCTTTATGACAGCAGAGGTAAACGAGTCAGCTGGAGAAAGAGTGCTGCTGTCTCTGTAAACGCCATGAAAGGGGTGAAAAATAGCAGTTTGTCCAATCACCTCCCGTCTCTTACTGCCTTAATCCTCTTCAGGTTCACACCTCCAGTTTAACCAGCTTCATGAAGGACATTAATGAGCCTGCTGTAGGGTGTGGTGGTATGAACCATTACATGTGAAAGATCTTCAATATTTAGCTGCCAAACATGAATGATCTGTGCTGCCTCACAAAGTGGACTCTACTCATTCCTGATCTTGTAAACGTTCTGATTGCTGGAACCTCCTTTCACTCAGTATTCCAAAAACTCAATCATTCTTTCCTTCATTTCTTGCTCAAACTTATGTTGTATGGGAGTTTACCAGAGTCTCGTGTATCTGGATCACATTTAGGAGCAGATGATTCATGTGCTAGTCTAGCTCTCCATGTAGTATTGTTAACTCTCCCTCTTCAGTCCTATGAGAGCAGAAAAGTTACCAACTTTTAGCTCTTTAATTCAAATCATGTACTTATGAGTTTCCTTACTTTAAGATTTTCATTTTAACCCTACTCGTACCACATGAACTCAAAACTTAAACAGAATGGACTCAACAAATTCCTTCATAGAGCTGGTTAGTGTTGGTAGCTGCAGGTGTCCACATTTCTTATGATTAATTCTTCAGGATCATTATGAGATTGTTACACAGTGACGTGTAGTGGGGACAAAAGAAGCATGATGACTTGGTTGATAAACAAGGAAAACCAATTTAATTTCCTCTGGTCCAAACAAAAATCAGAAAATCCCAGTTGTATTCAAAATGGCCACCCATCCAACTCCCCTCAAGTCTCTGTCACTTTCAGAGAGAAAAGATCCCTTGCCACACCCAGTCCACCTATATACTCTCCAACCCCCCCCCCCCCCCTCCAATTCAGGTCGGCCAATCACCTCAGTCCACTCAGGCATTTCACTATATACAGCATTAGAGGTGGGCTTCCTCCTTAGCTGCTTCAAAATGGCTGCCACAGAAGACACCTCCTGAGGGTAACAAACAAATTCATGTTACATAACACATAATACATTCCCGCATGAACACTCTTTGGTTTAAAGAAAACATGTTGCTTCTCAAACAAATGCATCCACAACCTTCAACAAAAGAAAAAGAACACTATTTTAACGAAGTGAGGGACTTACAGTGGTATTTCAAATTATTTCAAATAAGCATCAAATATTAAATAGATGCTATAAAACCAGTATTTAAAGAGACACCGTGTAGTTTTTACCTTTAATCTCTTGAAATATCCATTGAAATGTTGTTGAAAATGAATTAAATGATGCCCAGTTGTTGAAAAATATTGATGGCTTTGTAACACATAACCAAAACCCTCAGGCACCCGGCTGAGGGTGAGAGTGCGTAGGGTGTCCCAATTCTCAAGTGCGGAAGTTGATCACGCCCCTTTTTCACCCTTGATCTGCACTTCACCCAAGTCTACATCGATGCAGATTTGGGCAAAGGGTATTACCCAAAAACCCATTGCTGCGGGAAAAAAGGCTCAAGTGCCTTTTCTGAAAATATGTATTTTCAGATAAAAATTTAGTTTAGGATGATTAGTTGATACTCTAAATGTTTTAGACAAAGCAGCAATGAATGTAAACGTGTTTCAAACTCTTATGCAGCGGTCACACTATATAGCACGATGACTGCAAATTAATTATGACCAATAAGATGTGATGATTCCATACAAATATGAAATATCAATCTTGTTGATCTTTGAATGTTTAATCAGAAGAGTTTAGGGTTCTTTGCTTGTTCAGGAACCATAAACACATGCTATTAATTCAGACAGAATCAGGTATATAGTTAAAAAGGACTTTATTCTTTTCTAAACTAATGAATATACTTGACAAGATATGAATAATGCGATGTGATGGAGTGGATATGCGGTGATGGGATGTTATGTGTAGGTGGTGTGATGTAAGTTGGATGTTCATCAGAATCTTTGTATCTGAAAGAAATTGTGAAATCTGGGTGTAAAAGAATTTTTTGTCTGCTATAAACTAGAGAGTTGATTATTAATAAAACAGCATCAGAAGCAATCTGTTGTGTCTACAAACCCTGGCGGAGACCCCCAACAGATCCGGACTGTCAGAAGCCGAGTGGACTTCACGGCACCTGAAGTCAGTAGATTAACTCCGATACGACCCATCCAGTCTTGAGATGTCTCCAGGTCACAACAGTAGCTGGAATGCTTGTTTGCATCCAAAGTGGATGTGGCTCTTACCCCCAAATTCCACAACCTCCGCTCCGCTCTGGTCCGCCCCCGCCTTCCGCAGCCGCTCGCTTCCGAACTCAATTTTACTGGTACCCGCTCTACAACGGCTCCGCTCCGGTACGGAGACCTGAGGTGGGCAAACAAGCATGCGCAGGATTTTCGAGATCTTGCGATACAGTCCGAGCTATAAACGTGGAAGTTAGATCCAAACACCCGTTGTGTGGGAGAAGCATCAAAATGAACTGTTTAATCTGCCCATCATTTGTGTTGAGAGATCAGCAGTGTTTGGATCAACAAAGTGTGACTACTTTGATAGTAGAAACTGTATTTATGGCTTACTTTTGTGCATTTAAACTTCAGCCGCCATTGATAGTTGTTAAAAGTTGTTAAACCTGTGCATATGAAACAAAAAACGCCTTTTGTTTATCGATTTATTGTGAAAAACGGAAGTTGTGCTCGCTCCTTTTCCTGTTGGGTGGTTGTGATTTCTGTCCATTTACTGCGGAGGTGCTCCGACGTCCGGCGAAAATAGGATCGATTCTATTTTTGCCGGACCCCTGAACAGAGGGCGGCGCACTGCGCCGCACTGCCGGAGCACGGCCGCAGTAGTGGAATTGCTCTGACTGACTACAAC